AGACTCTGAGTTCAAGCCTGTGTACCACCAAAACAAAAAACAAAACAACAAAAAACCCAATAATGTGACTGGCTATTTAATCCATAATTTCAGAGTGTCCAAGGTTTTCTTTTAGATAGGTATATTCAGTGGATAGGATAGAGTAATGTAAAGGCAGGTGAGCACTTCCACTTTGAACAGTTAGAAAAGTTGGACGAACCTCTCTGTGTGTGCCTGAATGTGTGCACATGTGTATGTATATTTAAAGGCATTAGAGGCCTTCAGAAGCAAGACAGACTAGAGGGAGGAGAATTCCTGTGAAAGAAGACCTCTTGGAGGTGAAGTGAGGATCTTTGGCCCTCTTTTCTTGGAGGACACTTACTAACAAGAATGGGACATGGTCTGAGGATTGACTTGGTTCAGCAAGGCTACTGTTGGGGACAGGGAGACAGCAAAGGTTGCAGTGATCACACGGGAATGGAACGGAGTCTTGAAGGGCCTTACACACTTAACTACTTCTCCCCAAAACCCTCTGAAAGGCAGAGTAGTAACCCCTACTGTACCTCAAAGGTAAAGTGACAAACACTTGTCTGGTTCTAAATTTAGAAATCAGCCATAGATTCAAGCAGTCAGGAAACATTAAGCAAGATAAATCCCAACAAAAACACCAACCCTGAAAAGGACATGTGTTGTGTGGGAAAAAAATTATAGACCAATCTTTCTCCTAAGTATAGATAAAAGAAAAAAAAATTAAAATACTACATTTTCACATCCAGAGATACATATAAAAGAGCAATGCATTGGGGTCAAGTGAGATTAATTCCGGGAACGCAAGGTGTGGGTTAGCATGTGAAAAGCAACCATTGTGATTCACTACAGTAAGATAAAAAAGGTTGAAAATCCCATGCGATGGGGAAAGAACACTTGATAAAAGTCAGCTCTTCTTCATGATAAGCAAGCCAGGAGCAGACAACAGCTTTCACCCTATGTTCATCTGTCTACCAAAAACATGGACAAATATTGAACAGTTTCCTCCGGAGGCTGGGAGTGAGACAGGGACTTCCATCACCACCTGCTCAGGATTGCCGAGGACCCGCTAGCCAGGGAAAGGAAGGCTCAGGGCTAGGAAGAAACCAACTACCAATATAAGTTGGCTGTACACAATATAAAATCACAAAGAATTGGCAGAGCATAAGAATTTATATGCAAATTAATTAAGTCACTGGTTAGCACAAGGTCAAAATGCAAAATTATTTGTACTTCTATATGCTAGCAACAAAAATACAACTCAATGTTTTAAAAACTAGTGTCCAGTGGTAAAGCCTGTGCTTAGCATGTGTGAGCCCTTGAGTTCAGTCCCCAGCACTAAAAAGAAAAGACCTGAATATACATTTCTCCAAAGAAGACAAACAAATGTCAAAAAGCACATGAGCAGATCATCAGCCTAGTCAGTGGGAAAATGCAAGCTAAAACCACAGTGAAATACCACTTCACACATGCTAAGCAGGTTGACTGTAATAATAATCATTTTTAAAAAGTAGGGGAAAGGAGTGCAGAGGGAATGTTGCTCGTAGGGATGTTAAATGGTGCAGCGCTGTAGAAGACAATTTGATGGTTCCCCAAAAAGATGAAGATAGAAATACCATGTTACCCAGAAATTCTACTACTAGGTGTGTACTAAAAAGAATTGAAAGCAGAGACTCAGACAGATACCCATATCCCAGTGTCTCTTTAAAGCCTTATTCACAATGACCAAAAGGTGGGAAAAGCCCATCAACAGATGAGTGGATGTACACACACACACATACATGTACAGCCATGATGGAATATACATCTATAAAAGAATGAGGTAAAGAGAAATGAAGTGAGCAGAGAAGGGTGGTACGCTTGTAATCCCAGCATTTTGGAGGCTGAGGCAGGAGGATGGTAAGTTCAAGGCTAGCCTGGGGTACACAGTGAGACCCTCTGTCAAAAAAACAAAAAAGCTACAACACAGTTGAACCTCAAAAACATGCCAAGTGAATAAGCTAGATACAAAAGGACAAGTACTATGTGATTCCACTTAACACAAGGAAGAAAACAGACAGATTTATAGAACCAGGAAGTAGAGCAGAGGTTGCGGGGTAGGTAGTGGTGAGGACGGGAGTTGCTGCTTGATGAGCAGAGTTTCTGTTTGAGGTCATGAAGAAGCTTTGGAAATAGATAGTGATGTTTGCACACACTGAGGCTATAGAAAATGCCACTGACCTGTACCCTTAAAAATGGTTCACTACAAAAAAATCAAAAAGCTATAGTAAATGCAAAGATAGCTAAACTTGCCAAAGAGAGAGAGCACAGGTCCAGAGATCAATTTGCTCATATGTGGACCTCTTCAGTAGGAAGGAAGTTCTCAGTAACCAGTGCTGGGTTAATTCCACATCAGCATGCATATGTGATCTGTTATCAAGTGCGGTCAAAAATCAATCAACCAATCAAAAGAAATTTCAAAAACAAAAATTTAAGTTCCTGCACACCCATTATGCAGCTCAGTGGATGGGGAGAGGCCCTGCGTCTGTCCCGCGTTGTTGTCAAGCTGTGTTTGAGTTGTGTGATCTGCCCTTCATTTGTGAAAACATTCCTGCCCCAAAGTAAGGAAAAAGTTATGGTAATCCTCCTTAGCCAAAAAAGGCACAAAATGTTCTTAATTTAAGTGATAAAGTAAAATTTTTAGATATGTTGAAAGGTAGCATGTCTTTAGCAGAAGTCGGCCAGTGTCATGGGAAAATGAATCCAGCACCCAGTAGTGCAGCACTGAACCCTACGCATCCTCAGCATAGGACATGATTTTTCCTCCACGGCTGTCTCCTTGCAACCATAGACTGTGGATACCAAGGGCCGGTGTGTTTCTGGACTTCACCTCACACGGTGCACAAAATTAGCTTCTGGAGGATGGCAGATCTAAATGTGGAGGCCTCAAAGATCTTAGAGGACAAGGAGAATGCCTTCATGAACTTGGAGTCTACAGATTTCTTGCGTAGACACCCTAAGAGGAAAGTTTTGATAAAATGTACTAAATTAAGTTTAAGAACTTTTCATCGAAAGACGTTATGAGCATCCCTGCACGCTCAGTTGGATCTGATGGTCTTTATACATCACAGGTTCAGTAGACAGCAGTGCCTCCTGGGTGGAGAATTTAGTGTTATAATGAGCAAAGTTTACTCTATGTCATTTAAAAGAATGAGCCAGGTCATTTAAAGCTACAGCAGCCTCCCCTTTTTAACCCACCTCCAAAGCAAGCATAGGCGATCGTGAGAACTGAACTGGTTAGAGGCCAGCCCGCTGCTATTGCTGCAGAATTGCTGGCTGGCTGGCTGGCTGGCTGGCTGGCTAGCTAGCCAGTGGGGAGAAATCCCCACCTCTCTCTTCCATGTTGATGGCTGTGTGAGAGCAGAGGCAAGGCAGTTCCCACAGAAGGGTGTCCAGTGGGCCAGTAGACATAGGATAAGGTGTTCAAATCTGTTAGTCACTGAAGAAGTGCAATTAAACCCCAATGAAATAATTCTTTCATGGTAGGAACATAGCTAAACAGGAATAGACATAAGACCAGGATGCCGAGCACAGGAAAGGGGAAATTGATACCACCACTTTGGAACAATGGAAGAATCTGCTAAAGCTGGACATTTTTGTACTTGTGACCTAAGAATTCCACTCCTCTAAATCCATACCTGATAGAGAGGTGCACACACATGTGGTGAGAACCATAAGCAAGAATCCGGATAGCCACCTCTTTGTAATAGCCTCAACTTGAAAACCACCTGAAGGCCTGCTGGCCGTGGAATCAATGAATTATTATTTTTTTTTAATAAACAGGATCTCAACTCTGTTGCTCAGGCTGTCCTAGAACTCCTGGGCTCAAGCCATCCTTCTGTCGCAGCCCCTGGGGTAACTGGGACTCCAGGGGGCTATAACAGTGGAATGGATAAGTGAATCCTGGTGCATTCACACGATGACATACGACACAGCAGTGAGAAAGAACACGGAACAACTGGATGCGATCACAGGGAAAGACCCTCCAGACATTGCTCTGTGTGATCGCGCTGTGTGAAAGGAGGAAATCTAGTGGAATACACGCAGAGGCAGTGGTGTTCTCTGCTGTGGGAAGACTGGATGTGCTAGTGAGATGTAGTGACCGGAAGAGACTCAGGGGGCTTCTGGAGTTTTCCTCATCTGGGTGCTCATTACAGCAGCATGTTGTTTCTGGAAAATCACTGAGCACTTTATGTACATTTTCTGTGTGTATGCTGTATTTGCTGCTTCAGTAGTTTTCCCCCAAGCCATATATATTTTGGTAAATGGACAATTTAAAGAAATGTATGAAGTGAACAATGCGTTAGGTTTTACAAATATGAGCACAGTGAACAAATGGCTAAACTCAGGGGAAATTTGCGTCATCTGGTTACGCTTCATTCCATAGCCCCTTCTCCACCTCGCCTATCCCAGTGGCACCCCAACCCCTTCCCATCCCACCTTCAGCCCAGGCACCCTTTGTGGAGGGTGAGGTGGGCAGTCCCTTGGGCTGAGGCTCCCTCTTTCCTCTCTTGTGGTTCTCAGGCTCAGGGAATAAGCCTAAATTGTAGACTGCAAGCTATTCAAGGATTGTGACATCTTTCCCATTAACAAGTGAGGAAGCTGAGGCTTGATGTGACCTGACCAAGGTCACAGAAATGTGTCTAATACATCTCACAGGACTTTCACCCAGTGTTCCATACCAATTTGGAGGGATTCAATATGGGATCCCAAAGGCTATAATCTATCTGATTCACCACTGTGGCATCCACCCCTACGGACCCTTTGGGTGACAATGTGCACACTTCCTCTGGCCCCTTGCGCACTGGCAGTGTCCCTGTGGTGGCCTTCTGCCCATGGAGTTCTAGAAGCATCTGAGGCAGAGCAGGCCAGGTGTGGTGAGCTTCCTCCACTTGAACCGGGCCGTTTCCACCAGCCAGAGAGCCTATCTAACCTGCAGCCTGTTCCTTCACCAGGTGCCTTTGACCTGCTCTGCTGCCATGAAGATTGCAGTGATTGGGCAGAGCTTATTTGGCCAGGAAGTTTACTGCCACCTGAGGAAGGAGGGTCACGAGGTGGTGGGTGTGTTCACCGTCCCAGACAAGGATGGGAAGGCGGACCCTCTGGGTGAGTGAGTGGCCCAGGACAGGGAGGGGGTGCAGGGCAGCCTGCCAGTCCAGGCAGAGGGGCAGCAGTGGGCAGGTGGATGAAGTCTTTGGGGCCTTGTGGTGGGGCTCTGGCTAGGAGACAGCCATTTACCCTCACCCTGAATCTGCTCTAGTGCCAACTGCTGTCAGGCTTTTCTGGAATGAAGTCGTCATCCTCTCCCCTCCTGACTGTGGGATGGGGTCTGTGTCCTCATGTGGAAATATCCCATATGACCAATCCCTGAGCAACTATTAAAGACCCAAACTGCTGAGCCCACACATGCCATAGAATGGGTAAACAATGAGAAGTGCACTTCTCAGTTCTTTTGTGTGTGTGTGTGTGTGTGTGTGTGTGTGTGTGTGGTTCTGGGGTTTGAACTCAAGGCTTTGTGCTTGCTTGGCAGGTGCTCTACCACTTGAGCCATACTCCCAGCTCAGATGTTCACTTTAACAAGTTCCTGGGCAATGCCAGCGTCCCTGGCTCTAGGAGAAGCAGAATTTAAGAATTCCCAGCCTGACCTTTGTGTAGGAGCCTCTGTGTGGACAAGTAGACCTTCCAGGGACACTCACTGCTCCTTTTCAGACTGTGGGTCAGGGCTTAAGAAGGGGAGACTGGGATCAGGAAAGAGGGCTGAGGGGATGGCTAGGCACAGAAAGGTGATTTATAATGAATAGTGAGCCTCCCCAGACTGCACTGCCACGGCCTGACCCCTGGACTCCACTCTAACCCTGCTGATGCCAGCAAGGGCCCTCAGTCTTGCACCTGACCCCAGCCTAAGCCCAGCATGTATTCACTAGATAAACCACCAGCTGCCAATCCTAGACCCAAACTCAGCCTGGCTAGGACTACTACTTGACCTTGACTTCTGGTGTCCTGAGAAAGCATTTCATTGACCACAGTGGAATTACTTTTTAAAGTACTGTCCAGTCTGCTTACATCACATGACATTCTCCCTCACATCCACTGGACACCAGGGCACAGTGACAGGGAGAGCAGTCAGACCAGTCAGGGGACAAATGTCACACCCGATGTTCTCACTGAGAACTAAATACAAAGAAGTGTTTATTAGGTATTGGAAAATGAAAGGCCAGAGAGAGCCTTGAGGTATCTGGCATTAGCTGCTAGAGACAACTGCTACCTCTGATGCTGAGGACAGAAGCACATGGGATGGCAAAACTGGGAAGCTGGAGTGCAATTCAGGCCTGCGGGGACATGCTGCTCACCCCAGGCAGGAGGGGCCCTACAGGCTGGGACTGGACTGCTCAGGTGCAGACACAGTGGAGCATGTGTTGAGGCTAGTTCTGCACATTTTGGGCAAAAGGATAAGCTGCTGCTCTGAGAAGGGACTAGTGCAGCGGGGTGAAGCATCAAGGCTAGTGTGATGGTCAGAGGACAGGAACCCCACAGAAAGAGCCAAGTCCCTTCCCTTCCTTTTCCCCATCCTCCTCCCTCTAGCCCTTAGTTCCCTCTAGTCAGGGCAGGGCCAATAAAGCAGAAATGTAATTCACAAGGTTCTCCATCACAGAGAACTATGGAAGGGCAGAGATGTATCCACTTAGTGCCTGGCATAGCGAGGCTTTGGGAGAGGGTCGGGGAAGAGGATGACCATCAGGGGCTAGGCAGGATCTGGAAGAAGGAGGCACTCAGAGGTTGTGATGCTCAGCAGAAGGCAGTTTAGCCATTTGTTCACTGTGCTCTTATTTGTAAAACCTAGTGTATTGTTCACTTAATACATTTCTTTAAATTGTCCATTTACCAAAATATACATGGTTTGGGGAAAACTACTGAAGCAGTGAATACAGCATTCTCACAGAAAAATGCACGCAAAGTGCTCAGTGACTTTCCAGAAGCAGAACATGCTGCCGTAATGAGCACCCCTGTGAGGAAAACTCTGAAGACTTGCCCTTTGCCAGATGAAGCCTGATGAAGCCTGGCTGGGCGGTGGAGTTGGGGAGGGGAAGGCATAGAGAAGGTCTTGGAGCCACTTTGCTGGGCAGGCAGGGGTGGCAGTGTGTGTGTGTGTGTGGCTGATGGGGGCGGGTAGAGAGGGGTTGGTTTCTTACCTACTCTCTCACAGGCCTGGAGGCTGAGAAGGATGGAGTACCTGTGTTCAAGTTCCCCCGGTGGAGGGCAAGAGGACAGGCTCTGCCCGACGTGGTATCCAAATACCAGGCTTTGGGTGCCGAACTGAACGTCCTGCCCTTCTGCAGCCAGTTCATCCCCATGGAGATCATCAATGCCCCCCGACACGGTTCCATCATCTACCACCCATCTCTGCTCCCCAGGCACAGAGGGGCTTCAGCCATCAACTGGTGAGATGGGACAAAAACGGAGGGGCCATCCCAAACACCACTACAGCTGACTGAATTAGCATCTTCCTTCAGCCTGAAGTACCTCCCTGGGGCTGTGGAGTGGTTATCAGGCAGGTGTCTGTCCTGCGCTGCCAGCTGTCATGGTGAAACTGATGGTGGAATATTGAGAGAGTGCTGTGCGGCCTGGGGGGCAGGAGTGAGTGTTCCCAGACTATGCTGGGATAGAGGGCTGAGGCGCTTGTCCTGGGCACCCAGGAGGCTGCAGAGAGAGGAGTATCCACCCAGGACACTGCCCAGAGTCTTGCTCTAACCTCCGCCCACTGCTGTTACCCTCAGCAGCACCCTGCACAGGAAGTGATACAGGTGGAGTGAAAGGTCGCCTAGACAGGACAGCTTGAGGTGATGCGAAGCACAAAGGAGACAGCAAACCCGGCGATATGTCAGGGGGTGGGTGGTCAGAGAAGCGAGACATTTGCACTGAGAAACGAGAGTAGGTCTGTAGTCAGACTTGTCTGGTTGAATCCAGGTTCCCTGATCCTTTGGTGACGCCACCTCACTTCTTTGAGCCTCTGTTTCCTAATCTGTAAAATGAGCATACCACTCTTATGTCTGTCAAGAGGATGAAGTTACATAAAGTATCCAGAGATTTTAGTGTGGCATCTGGCACATGACTGGTATTAATAAATGTTTTTCTTCTCTTTCCCCTTCCTGTGGGAGCAGTATCAGTCCTCTCTGAGGGAGAAAGGGACTGCTGGAGTGTGGCAGAGGCCACAGAGCTGCACCCAGGGTACCCTTCTCTGTGACCCTTCCTCTTGGACTCAGGGTTTCACTCTCGTGCCTCCTAGGACCCTCATTCACGGAGATAAGAAAGGAGGCTTTACCATCTTCTGGGCTGATGATGGTCTGGACACTGGGGACCTTTTGCTGCAGAAGGAATGTGAGGTGCTCCCCGATGACACCGTGAGCACCTTGTACAACCGCTTCCTCTTCCCGGAAGGCATCAAAGGGATGGTAAGGGATGGGAGCTGACCACCTGCCTTTTCCCTGACATACTGGTACTACAGGGCCCTCCATTCCCAGGCACTCTCTGGGCTCTGCCTGCTTTCCCTAGAGCTCCAGCTGGCAGGGGAGGGCAAGGCAAGTGATACTCCAGGACAGGGGCTTCCCAGAAGGGGAGCATTTGACATGACAATGCAAGCATGACAGTTCTGTACAAGCACTCACTGCAATCCAGATGTCAGCTGTCCCCTTGCCCTTGGTCCTGTTGGATGTCGGCTGCCTTTAATTTTAGTTGTGTTAAACTGGATCCCTACTTCCCCCATGGGATGACCTGCTCACAAAAGCAGTGAGCAAAGTTTCCTTGGTGGAGAATTAGCATCAGATACAGACAAGGGCATCATTTGCACATCCCAGAGCAGACAACTCAAGTACCCACTAGAGCTGTGCCATTCAGTACATCAGCTGCTTGACACATACATGTGACTATTTACATTAATTACAATAAATTGTAATTTAAAAATTAAGTTCTGGGGATGCAGCTCAGTAGTAGAACACTTGCCTTGTTTGCTGGAGGCCCTGGGTTTTGTTCCTAGCACTACAAAAAAAAAAAAAAAAAAAAAAAAGAAGAAAAAAGGAAAAAAATTGAGTGCCTCAGTCTCAGTAACTGCATTTCAAGTCACTGTATTGGACCAGGCAAATATAGAACACATCCATCACTACAGAGCATCCCATCAGGCAGTCCTGCTCCTAAAGAAACTCCTAAAGTTTCTGATACCCCGTTCCTTCCCAGAGTCGGCACCTCTGGGTCTCTTCTCTCAAGCCCTCCCTCACTGTGGGCCCAGACTCTGTGGCTCTCCTCCCTCTTCCCTGAGTCCTTCCCAGCCACCTTCCTCCTTCTTTCCACAGACCTCCAAACTTGTACCTCCAGTCCCAACTCAGGGCTCAGAACCCATTCGCCTTACAAGGCAGAGAGGTTTTAGACAGCAGCATGAAAACGTGTGTGGATGTTATCCCTGCACAAGGGTGGATAGTTTATCTGAGAGGTCTCAGGAGCGGTGAGATCTGTGTGGGCGGGTTTTGCCCACTGTGCAGAGTGAAGTTTTGTCACTCTCATTCCATGTGTTTATGACACAGGCCACAGAAATTTCTTGCCTGCCTACTGTGTGCCATACATGGCTGGGCATGGGGTGGAGGGGCTGCTGCTAGGGATGTCAGCCTGCAGAGTCTCCCATACAGGTGCAGGCCGTGAGGCTGATCTCCGAGGGCAAAGCCCCCCGACTCCCTCAGCCTGAGGAAGGAGCCACCTATGAGGGCATTCAGAAGAAGAAACGGCCAGGGTGAGTCTGGCACCCTGTCTGCATGTAGTTAGGTACAGGTGGTGTTCTGGGGAAGCTGGAGTTTGGCTTGGGTGGTGTAAGTTGTAATTGTTTGAGGCCTAGGCTGGGATTGCAGGACAGAGTGGGCAGGGAGGAGGTGCGAGGCACCTGAAAGTGCAGAGAACAGGGTCCGCTCCAGTTCAGGGTTCATCTCTGGTTTTCTTTAGGAAGAAGGGGAAAGCAATGCCCCCAGGGAGGGAGAAGAGCTGAGGTGGGGTAAAACACCAGCCTGAGTGCTACAAGTCTGCAAGATGAAGGACAGTTAGTTCCTTGAAGCAATAGTGGGCAGGGGAGAATTGGGGTGCTGTGGGCTGTGTTTCTGCTTGGAAGATGATGGGGTGCTCTTATGGAGGTCTACATGGGCCCTTGAGGCAAAGAGAAACTGTGTTGGGTCCTGTGGGCTGGGCCTGAGCACTTGTGCTGGGATTCTGTGGGCTTATCCACTTGCCATGAATAGAACAGGTTCTTCCCAAAGATATTCAGCAGGCTGCTCAGCCTGTGAGATAATTACAGGTACACAGAACTAGGGGACCAGTTCAAGGACTCAGAACAATGTCCAAGACAAAGCCCAGGCCTTCTGCCCAGGGGTCATGAAGTTAGGGAGGAGAGACTGGGAAGAAACTAGCTGGGCCACACGTTCTGCTTCCCACAGATTAACTGGGCCCAACCTGCAGAAGCCATTCACAACTGGATCCGTGGAAATGACAAGGTGCCAGGTGCCTGGACAGAGGCCTGTGGACAGGTGTGTTTGCATGTGACTGGAATTCAGCTGGAAGCACCTATGTGCCCTGCTGGCTGTAAAACTGTCAAATATGTTAGAAGCACTTGATAAATAACCACTGCCTTGACCACCCCATCTAAAGACTCCCTGGCCCCCAGTCCTTCCCCAGCAGAAGACTCTGATCACCATCTTGGATTTAAGGTAGATGTCTGCATCACTGGAGGTCTCCAGTCACCCACTACAATTCTTCTGGGGTCCAGCTATATTGGTTGTCAAATATTTCAAGTCTTATCCCAAGCTCTCAGACACCCCAGGCCCAGCTCTGACCCCAACATGGCCCCAGCAGGAAAGGAGAGGAGCATACTGAGGACTAGATTGGGCAGGGATGGGCCAGAAGCTAAAAATGAGGTACCCTGGGGTTTCAGGGCCCCAGCAAGGCATTGAGGGATGCAGGGCAGCCTGTCCTCACCACTCCAAACTGTCCAAACCCCTGACCCCTAGTGACTGCCCAGACCGTGCCCAGAAGTGTTTCCATGTCCTGTACCAACACAAACCACTTTGTATTGTCAAGTGCATCTCCAACCAGTGGCCAGTGCTTGTCAGTGTCCTCAGGGCTGGTGGCCTCCCTCCAGATGTCTTGAGCATTTTCTCCATGTGCCTGTGCACCTAGGGTCTGAGGCTGTGGGTCAGTGCCAAGGGTCTCTGGGGCATATGAGGCTTGAGGTGGCCCTGCCATCAACTTCCAAGGCCACCTCAGCTCCTGCAGATCTTGTTTGTGGCCCTGGAGGCAAGGTCTTAGGGGTCACTTGGCCTTGCATGGCTCTCAGATTGCAGCTGCCGGGGACCTAGCTCATCTTCTCAGGCCTGCACAGCTCTGGCTGGGCTGCTGGTCCTGGGGCTCTTCTTACCTTCTGTCCCCTGGTTTTCCTCCCCTCCACAGAAGCTGACATTTTTCAACTCGACACTGAACACTTCAGGCCTGGTGCCTGAGGGAGAAGCTTTGCCCATCCCAGAAGCCCATCGGCCAGGCGTGGTCACCAAAGCAGGTCTCATCCTCTTTGGCAATGATGACAGAATGGTAAGGGCACTGCTGATCATTTCAAAGCCTCATAGCCACTCATGCTCCTGCCTTGGGGCTTGGGACCCACGGGAAGATCCCAGGGTGCTCGGAAAAAGTGAGACCCATTGGCAAGAAAGCCATACTAGCCCTTGACCACTAGGTCTGAGCAAAGGCTGTCTGAGGTGGGGTCCTATATTCTTCATGACCAGACACCCCATTCAGAGCTAGGTGCCCTTGTGTGGTTATCACACACCCTCGAATCAGGGAGAAGCCCTGAACAAGGATGCCATAGTGACTTGGCTCAGGGAGAGCCGTCCTGGGCAGAAAACAAGCTCTGATTAGTATTAGCAGACTCTGCAAATCATAATAATTTCATATGCACTAAATTTTATCTTCCAAACAACCCTGTGAAATACGTGTTGACCTTGTACTCATTTTACAGAGGAGAAAACTGAAAGGCAGAGATTTGAACAACTTGCTTGAGGTCACTAAAGCTAGTTGGTGGCAGAACTGGGATTCAAACCCTAAAATTCTGGCCCTGAGGGCCCCGATGTGGCCATGACAGTTCACTATTGATACTCCGTTACTTCTTCTCACATTAGACACCAGGGGTAGGAGAGGCAGAGGACAGTCAGGGGTCCCAGCACTATCACAACTTTCTATTGTGATAGTGGCCGTATTGGAGTGCGCAGGGCAGATGAGTGTGGAGGGCTGTACTTGACTCCCTCGTGGTGTCTACCCTGCCACGCTTTGCCGCTGGAGGGTCTAAGGCTGCCATTGGTGCCTGCCATGTACAGTGGTTGTGTGGGTATTCGTGACTGGTAAGTGCCATTTGTGAAGGAGTATCTATGTGATATCAGGTTCCTTAGAATCGGCAACTGAGGTGGGAATCCTCACAAAAGGGATTTATTGTGGGAACACTCAGAAAATCACGTTAGGCCAGCCCCACTGGGGCTCTGCAGGGTGGGTTGTGTTTGCTGACTCTATCTCTCCTACCCCAGCAGCCAAGCGTTGGTCTCCTTGTACCTGGGGCAGTGGGAAGGGCAGTGAAGCACAGTCCTTGGCCTCTCGGCTCAGGGCTCTTGTCTGTCAACAGCAGGCAAGGAGGACAGTGTGGATGGGACACTCACCTCCAGCCCTGGCAGCAGCTGGATGATGGGGTCACTAGCCAGAAGGGAATGAGGGCCACCAGGTGCCACTGCCACAAAGTCTTCAGATACGGCAGAGCATAGGAGCAGCATTGGTGGAGAGCCTTAGATGAAGCATGGCTCAGCTTCTCTTTCTGGGTGTAGCTGGCCTTCAGCTCACAGAAAGTTTTAGAACCTCTTCAAAGACAGGAGAGTGTGAGCCAGGCAGGGCGTCCGGGCCTGCGTCTGTCAGTGCTTGTACAGAGTATGCTTATCGTCCAGAGCCACTCTTATCAAGTGACCATGCCAGTCTGCCAGAGTCCCCCCGAAACACTTTCTTTATCTCATGTGGTTTTTTTTTTCTGAACAACTATTTATGAGCAAGCAGGCGCCAAATAATTCATATGTTACTAAATTCAGAGTCTCTGAGGCAGACAAAAGAATATTCCAGAGCCACTTTCTGGAGCCATTATCGTTCACTTCAGGCAGCCAGCATCACCTGAGGTCCAGGAGTGGACAGGGTCCTGTGAGGGCCATCCAGATGTGCTGTCTTCATGGGTGCAGATGCAGGACTTGCAGGATTCCTTTCTTACCCTCTCCTCTTTCCACCTCTGGGTCCCAGGCATGCATCTGCTCTCCACACGTTTCTTTGGGTTTTTTGGAAGCTGTCGGGGTGGTTGGGTTTATCTGTTGTCTTCTCCACTGACTCCCAAAGTAGCCCTGGAATTACTTTTTTTCTGGTAAGCAGGATTTCTTTATATACAAATAATAAAGTCATTACACAAAAACAGAAAGCAAGGGCATGAGGTCTGGGGTGTTAAGTGCTTGCTTCATGTGTGCAAGCCTTGGGTTCCATCCCCAGAATCCCCCTCAAAAAAAAAAACCCAAAACAACACTGTAGAAAGCCCCCTGTGTCACCACTGCCACAGGAACTGTGAGATCCTTCCTTTGCAGCTGCTGGTGAAGAACATTCAGCTGGAGGATGGCAAGATGGTTCCAGCCTCTCACTTCTTCAGGGGAGCAGACAGCAGTGCCCTGGAGCTGACGGAGGCAGAGCTGGCTACTGCGGAGGCTGTGCGGGTAAGAGGCACATTCAGAGGTGCTGCCCAGTTGGGCAGGTTGTGCACTGTACATCTACTTGGTGAGTCATATTCCCTGGAGTTGGCCCTGTGTGCTGGCCTCAGGGACGGCATTAGTTCAGTCCTATCCTGGAGCTTTCTGATGTCTCAGTGCCCCCCCTTCCTTTGTAGATAGGGCCCTGGTGTTGGCTAACTAGGTCTGACTCTTCTAGGGACTCATTGTCAGAAGTAAACAAATGAATCAGATGGCCCTGGAGTAGTTGAAAAGGCCTAGCCCATGGCCTGCCCTGTGCTCTGTAGCCTGCCCCAAGACGCTGCCCATGAGGGAGCTTTCTGGGCTTGACCAGCACAGCTTCTTGGTCAGGTAGACCTGGGCTCCATCTAGCTTTGCTCTTTGTGATACTCCAGGGGCTTCGCTCTCTGACCTTGGTCTTCTGACCTGGAGTTCAGTCAGTGGTCACTTTCTAGAATTTGCTCTTGGCCTTTCCTGCTCCCTCCCTGTCTCCCTCTGCTTGAGTCATGCATCGACATTGAGCTGTGTCTTATGGGTGATGTTGAGTGGGTTTTCAGTCATTCATCCACTCCAGATGTTCAACTGCAGACGCCTCTCTGCTCCCAGTCAGTAAGCCCACCTACAGGGAAGTATCGAAGGTTGAAAATGCACTGAATAACCTGCCTTACTGAGCAGCCCAGCCCTGCAGCACAGTGCACTGTAGTGCCAAGCCGTTCTCCCTCCCAATCAAAGCTGGGCTGGGCTGTCAGGGCGTGTGGTCTGGAGGCAAGTTGGATGAGGGGAGGTGCCATGAGGAGAGGCCAGTATGGGCCTATTGGAGATCCTAGTGTTGGGGGAGAGGCCACACACATGGCCATTCAGCAGATACCCAGAGGCTTGCATGGCTGAGAAAGCAGTGGGCTGCCAGCCTGTCCGCCCTTGAGCACAGGTGTGAGGGCACCCATTTGCCTTACACTGAACTCCTCATCAGCTGTGAACAGATGAGAATATGGAGCCCAAGAGGCTGCCTGCATCTCCAAGCTCCCCAGGCTGAGCTCAGTCTGGCTGCAGGGTGCATGCAGTGATCCCTTCACCATGCCCCTCTGAGGTTCCACCAGCATCTGATGAGGCCCCATCAGATGTGGCTGGTGCCCCAGGCCTCAAAAGCCTGTGGAGAAGAGAGGAAAGAAGTGACAGTAGTTGGTCCCTAAAGGAGGCCCAGGATTTAAAAATGAGCTGGGGAATGGGGAAGGCATTATTGACAGATGAGGCCCAGACCATGACCTGGAGGGACAGGCAGTGGTCGTGTGACCCACCCACAGCAAATGGCTCAGCACATTCCAGTGGTCACTCTGAGGGTGGGAAAACACTTCTCTGATACTTTCCCTGCAAAGAAAGGAGAGCCAGGGCGAGACTGGCTCAGCTTTTACCATCCCTGTGGCAAATTACCAGAGATGATTGACTTAAAAGGAAGATAGGTTTATTATGGCCCATGGTTTCAGAGGTTTTCCATCTGTGGTAGCTTGGCTCTTGCCTGGACCTGTGGCAAGGCAAAGCATCAGGGTGGGAGTGTGTAGTACAGCAAAGCTGCTCACCTCAGAGGAGCCAGGGAGCAAAAACAGAGAATGATAAGGGGCCAGGGTCCCAGTAGTCTCTTCCATGGGATGCTCCTAATGACCTCACTTCCTACTATGCCCCACAACCAAGCCTTTAGTATGTGGGCAATTGGGGGACATTCCAGTTCTAAACCATAACAGTAGAGGTCTTGGGAACTGGACTTGGACCAGCATCTTGTACCCACAGTCTGGCCTCAACCTCCTCGGGCCAGTGAACTGGTCACAGCCTGGACTTTAGCCAGAGTGTGGGGCCCTGCCTGGCTCCTGACGTACAAGACCTGGCTGGAGTCTTCCCAGAGAACAGTAGTCCCTTCTTGACCTGCTGGATGGCCTTTAGTGTGAGTTGGGGGTGCTAACCTCTGAGCTTTCAGTGGCGTCTCCACACTCATCCACAAGCCTGGTTGGCTGGACACTACTGCCCTCCACAGGTCTCAGGGTGGAAGGCACTGACCCGTCAGTGTCTCAGTATAGACAAGACCCAGGTCCCCTCCCTGTGTCATCACTGTGCGTGGCGCTCACCCTCAGAAGTGCACCCCACTCTGAGTTGTGCTGGGGACACCAGAACCCAAATAGTAGCACCAAGGCCAGGCTGCTGGAGCATGCATTAGAGACCCAGGAGCAGCTGAGTCCTGCCTTTCTCCCACAAACTGGACTACCCAGAGGACCCCAGAGATGTCAGCATGAGGACAACAACCTGGGTGTCAGGATGGCTTGGACTGCAGTGGCCTCTGCTTCCCAGGAGGTGGTCACCCCAGGATCACCAGCCCTGCCCCCCACACCTCAGAGTGGCCAGAGAGAAGCCAAGCCTGGCATGTAGCCATCTGCAAGCATGTCCAGGGCTGTGGTTACGGAGGGGACACCTGCTCCAGCCCCCTGGGCACCGTGTTCTTACAGGGTCTTGTTTTTCAGAGTGCTTGGCAGCGAATCCTCCCCAATGTGCTGGAGGTTGAAGACTCTACGGATTTCTTCAAGTCGGGGGCTGCATCAGTGGACGTTGTGAGGTGCGGCCAGGGGCGGAGGAGGAGTCCTGTTCCAGGTTCAGTTGTTGGATCATAAATCACAGGGAAGCTGAGCCGCAGGAAACAACCACTGTTTGTTATGCTCCTCGTGCAGGCCCAGGACCCAGAAAGGGCCTCTGTGCCAGGCCTTGGTGGGCAGACCTGAACTGCTGTGGGTGCTGGGACCACCAGGCAGGAACATCCACCCCCAAGTTGGCCTCTTGCTGCCAGGGGGTGCCCAGGCCAGGAGGGCTGGCCACTGCCCAGCTGGTACTGCCAACCAAGGGAGCACCCACCCATGGCTGCCCTAGTTTGTTCAGAGTTTTATGGTAAAAGACTATGTCAGATTCTTTGTCTGCACAAAGAATTCACAAAGAATTTATATGGTGCATTATGTTAACTGGCTTTCATAGGTGAGCCATCCATTCCATTCCAGAAATTAATACCCCTTGGTCGTGGTATATGATCCTTTTAATAATGCTGCTGAAATCAGTTTGCCAGGAGTTTGTTGAGGATTTTTGCATCTATGCTTATGGGGGTATTGGCCTGTGGTTTTCTCTTCTTATGGTATCTTTGTCTGGCTTAGTGTCAGGGAGATGCTGGCCTCATAGGCTGGTTTGGGAAGTGTTCCCTTTTCTTCAGTGTTTTGGAGAAGTTTGAGAAATATTGTGAAAAATCTTTAAACATTTGGTAGAATTCACCAGAATTCACCATTCAGCCTGGGCTTTGCTTTCTTAAAAGGATTTGAATTGATAATTTAGTTTTCTCACTGAGTTACATACATGTGTTCAGATTTTCTATTTCTCTAGGAATAAGTTTTAGTGGGTTGTGTGCTCCATCTTGTCTAGCTTACCAAATTTGTTAGAATACAGTTTGTTATAATCTTCTTATATAATTCTTTTTATTTCTATAAAATTGGTATAACATCCCCTTTGATTACTGGTTCTGGTAATTTGAGCCTTCTCTGTTCAACCTCACCCCCTTTCTCAGTTCTGTTGATATTTTCAAGGAACCAAATATTGCCTACTCTTCTTCTCACCTCTGTTTCATGAACTCTGGTCTAGTGTTCATTGCTTCCTTTCTTCTGTTGGCTGTGGATTTAGGTTGTTCTTTTTATTTCTAGTTCTAGGAAGGTGTCTGGTTAAGTTACTTATTAGAGATCTTTATTCCTTCTTAACGTATGTATCTATATAGACAACTTCTCTTAATACTACTTTGAATCTTACAAGTTTTGGTATGCTGCATTTTTGTTTGCCTTTGACTGAAGGATTTATTCTCATTTCCTTTATGATCTCTTTGACCTGTTAATTAGGGTGAGCTGTTCATATATTTGTGAATTTTCCAATTTTTCTTTCTGTTTTTGGCTCCTGGTTTCCATTGCAATTGGATAAAATTTCAATTTCTTTTCCTACCTTTTTTTTTTTTTTTTTTTTGTAGGACTGGTATTTGAACTCAAAGCTCCGTGCTTTGCAGACACTCTACCACTTGAGCCACATCTCCAGCCCTTTTTGCTCTGGTTATTTTGGAGATAGGGATTTACATTTTTGCCCAGGCCAGCTGGACCACGGTCCTCCTATTTTAGGCTTCTCACCATTACTTGGATGACAGGTGTGTACACCACACCCAGCTTTCTTTGGTGAGATGGGCTCTTAGAGCGTGGGCTGGACTTGAACTGTGATCCCCCTGGTCTCGGCCTTTCAAGTAGACAGGATTGTGGGTGTGAGCCACTGGTGCCTGGCTTAAATCTTTTTAATTCTTTTTTAATAGAGCAAAGTTTAATGGCAGGCTCAAACTGCCAGGCTGGCTGGGGAAAAAGATGGCTCAGCCTTTTTTAATTTATTGACTTATGTTCTATACCCTTATTTGTCTTCTGTCCTGTTGTTCTACCCGCTGTGGAAAGCTGGACGTCTAAGTCTGTAACTGTTATTGTGGAAATGTCTGCTTCTCCCTTCAGTTCTGTCAGTTTTTGCTTTATATATTTCGAGGCTGTGTTAGATTTGTATACGCTTATAGTTTGGTTTTTGTGTTTATTTGTTTTTGGCACTCGTTTGAACCCAGGGACTGTACTTGTTAGGCAGGTGCTCTACTGCTTGAGCCACATCCCCAGCTCTTTTGTTTTTATTTTGTTTTTGAGACAGGTCTTGCTAACTTTGCCCATGCAGGCCTTGAATTCATAATCCTCTTGCCTCCAGGATTATAGGCATGAGCCACCATGCCTGGCTTGTTTACAATTGTTATGTCTTCTTTCTGCTTCAAACCTCTTATCAACTTAATGTCCTTCTTTGTCTTTTGTAACCTTGTTGGATTTAAGATCTATTTGGTCCATTAATAAAATAGCCACATCATCTCACTTTTGGTTACTATTTTCATGGAATATCTTCTTTGTTCTTTTATTACGATGTTTTTGTGTCCTTATATATAAACTGTCTTGTAGCATATAGGTAGAGCCTTTTTTTTCAAGCTAATCACCCAGTTTTTACCTTTTAACAGCCTTCTGGGGCTCCAGCTTAGGCTCCTAACCCCAATCCTAAGCAGATGGGCTATGACCAGGTCCCAGGTTGCTGGGCCAAGGTCCCTGTGGATAACTGTGTCTGGAACCACCTTCTCTGATGCTGGACTGATGGGGGTCTGCCAAGCCTCTGCCTATGCTCCCTATTGCCTCATCTCTTCCCTCCAGACTGGTGGAAGAAGTGAAGGAGCTGTGTGATGGCCTGGAGTTAGAAAACGAAGATGTTTACATGGCCACCACCTTTGGGGACTTCATCCAACTCCTAGTGAGGAAGCTGCGAGGGGAGGATGAAGAGAACGAGTGCATCATTGACTACGTGAGTCCTGGGCCTTAGGTGCACATGGCCCTGTGGAAGAACTGGGAAGTGGCAGAACCAGGGCTCCAGCCCAGGCATTCTGCCTCACAAGCTGTGCTCCTTGTCTCTTCTTATCACTTGGCTCCACCTCTCCCCACAGGACGGGCCCTGGGCTGTGCACATGCATGTGCTGTGTATCCCTGTGGGGGTGCTTGTCAACAATGCTGACATGTGAAGGGCCCCCCGACAGCTGAGCCTTCTTCCCTAGGTGGAAAGGGCTGTGAACAAGCTGACTCTCAGAATGCCCCACCAGCTCTTCATTGGGGGCATGTTCGTGGATGCTGAGGGCGCCAAGACCTATGATACCATCAACCCCACAGATGGAAGTGTGAGTGCTACCCATAGCCGTCCCCTGGCCTCTCGGGGCACTGCCAGGGGCCTGGGCAGGGAGGAGTGGGGAGAGGAGGGAAGGCTTCAAAAGGACTTGAGCTGCTTCAGAGACAAAACAGAATTAAAACTCCCCAAAGAGGAAACAAGGTCATTGCCTCCCCGAACACTGCAGCAGTGATCCTGGAGTAGGCGCCACCTTTTGTGATATTTGTACACTCACTCCTGGCAAAATCTTCCTTAAATGGATCCCAGTGATTGCCAGGCTTTCTTGACATGACACTTTTGCACCATGATGCATGTGTGCAGGCAACGTATCTGACACAGGTCTTATGGGACAAGTCTTGCTCTTATGGATACACACTGCTGCTCTTCTGGTCGGTATTGTCCCTGGGTCCTGCAGAAAACAGTGCAACTCACAATGGACCCTTTGAGGCGTGTTCAAAGAAAGAGTGATTTCCAAAAGAACAGGCAGGGTACAGGGACAGACAGGATGATGTGGTGCCTTTGGGACTCTTAACGTTGGCAGAGTGGACAGGGCTGCCTGGCAGGCACTGGGGCCTTGAGTGGGGAGGATGAGGCTGTCCATGGCGACCGGCAAGTTGGCGCCAGCCTCTCTCCTCCCACCCAGCCCAGCTGGCTGCCCTTGGCCACATCTAGCTGGCAGCTGAGGAGCCTCATTGTGGTCCACATGGTAACCACAGGGAGGAATAGGGAATGGGGGCGTGGGTGCAGATCCAGGGGCCTCCAGTATCTAATCTCTGACATTTCAAAAATCTTCCTGGTTGGACTCAGTAAATAAATGGGTCTTAGTTCTTGGTGTGAACAGCACTAGGCTGACCCGCAGCCTGAGTCTCTTGCCCATTTGGGCCCCTTGGGAAGGTGAAGAGATGATCACTGGGAGTAGAAACACAGACCTCCACCTTCACTTTCTGCGTGATCCCTCCCTGGGTGCTGTTGGCCAAGCTTTCCTCTCCAGCCTTCCCATGTACCTGGGGAGGGGGTCCTGCCTCAGTGGGGCTTCAAGAGGAGACTGGGGAAGCAGAATACACAAAGCCAAGGGAGAGTGTCATATCTCTGCTCCCACCACAGGTCATCTGCCAGGTGTCCCTGGCCCAGGTCAGTGATGTTGACAAGGCAGTGGCTGCTGCAAAGGATGCCTTTGAAAACGGGTTGTGGGGGAAGATCAGTGCGCGGGACCGGGGCCGGCTCCTGTACAGGTGAGACCTCACACCCATCTGCAGTATCACCTCCTTCATCTGAGGGCAGGGCCAGCCCTACTACCAAGGCCTCTTTTCTGGGGTCCTGCCTGAAGGAGGTGTGCACCAGGGAGGTCCAGAGCCTGACCAGTCTTGAGGCTCTAGCCTGAGGCTCAGAAAAGACTTTTGGAGGAAGGAACTTAGAAACAGAAGGGATGTCAGCAGATGGAAGTGGCCTTAGGGAACTTGTGCTGGTGGCAGAGGTGAGGAAGTACAAAAGGGAGGCTGTGCCTCAGATGGGGCACAAGCTGGAGGGCCTGAGAGACACCTGGTATGGTCACCCAGGTCTATGCAGTGCTTGCCTGCATCAGCCTGGGCCAGGGAGGCCTCTGGCTCCTGCAAGCACGTGATGGCATGGACGGGTCACAGCTGTGCTGTGCCTACCTGTCATTGCTCACCCTGGCTCTGGCTGCTGGAATCTCCTGGGCTCACATTGTCCTTCTAAAAAATGCCTAAGCTGGGAAGGAAGGGGCTTCTCCCTAATTCAGAAATCTAAGTTAGGCAGGGATTGCTTGAGCATATGACCACAGGGTAGGAGGGAGCCTGGATGAGAAGTACTGTGCTGCTAGAACCATGGGGCCTCGGGGTGGGGAGATGAGTGGTCAACCCCAAAGAAGCAGGGTGACATTTCCAGAAGTAGGGTAGGCGCTGGGCAGAGGAGCCAAGCAGAGGAAGAAGAAACCAGCTAAGCCCATTTGGCTTTTGTTTGCAGCCTGGCCTTTATTCTGAGGGTCTTGGAAAGGCTCTGTGGAATGTGGAGCCCTTTATGTGGTCCCACCCTGGCTTATCTGCTGGCGGGCAGAAAAGTCTCCACATGGCTTGCAGTCTGAATGACTTTCATGTCTATTCCTGAAGCCAGAAACTCCACGACAGCCCAGCAACAGGGAACCAGAGAAGGGACATGCAGCTTGCAAATAGAACAGACTGTGGGACTGTGTTGGGACAGAAGGCTGAAGATGTCAGGTGTGCTTGGCCCGCTCATTTCCAGACTCCTGGGAGAACCAGTGAATTGACTAATGACAAGCGGTCCCCAGAGCTGATGATAGGGCAGAACTAACTGAAATCCAGGCACCCAGCTGGGTGGAGTGAGCCTTCTGGGTATGTAAACAGTGGCCTTGTGAAATTGGAAGGGTCCTTCCCTGAAATGCTCTCCTGCCATCTGGTGGCCTGTGTCATCATTAACACCTACCCCATAATGACAGTGAGGGTGGCACATGGTGCAGCTCTAAGTGGAGACCTCGACTAGGGGGAACAGACTGCTCAGGGGGCTGAGAGCTCCCTCATGATCAGGTCCCTGCTCTGTGAAAACTCCTGGTCCCATCAGAGGAGGTATGCCCATGGCTGACTCTGCTGCAACTCAGCAAGACAGGCTGGGGCAAGATGTCCTGGAGGGGGCAGGACAGGATCCCCAGAGAAATGGCTGTAGAGCGCTCCTGGTTTGACGCCACAGCTCCCAAAGGTCCTGACTAATCTGGATGAGACTGACATGAAAAGGAGGAGTGCAGGATTGCTGCTGGTGCCCCAGAATGAAGTAGGAACTGGACCTTGGGCCTTGTTGACCAGGAATAGAGTTGTGACTTCATGTGAAGTATAGTAGATGGCTGTTGGGTGTACTGGAGTATGTTGACAGCTGTGGTCAGGAGTGGAGCTGTATGCATAGAGGGACAGGGTGGGAAAGGGCCCATGGCTTTGGTCACACACTTGTCTCTAGACTCACGTGCCTGTCTGCAGGACTGAGGCTGTTCCAGATGTGTGGTCCCTGCTTCCCCTGCCCATAGTGCTCCCTTAGCACTTGAGACCCTCTGCTCACTGAGGGAGCACTGTCCTGACTCCCGGGCACCTGGACACCGGTGAGCTCAGGCTCGCAGTGACTGAAGCACACCTTCCTGCCTCTCTTCCTCTTCACCTCTCGTGTGGCTGGGCCACGCTCTGTCTCTGGTGACGCCAGCCCCAAGAGTTTGGTTGGTATGTAACAGGTGGTTAATGCTTTTTCCTGGCTGAAGCTGTCCAAAGACAGGAAGAGCGACCTCTAGGAGTGGCATTGTCTTTGCTGTCTGCAGCAAACGGTGAACCCCTCTGCACGATGACTTGTAGGGGTCAGTGTAGCCAATCCATAGATTTTTCAAAAGAAAGAAAGGGAAGAGAGAAGAAAGGAGAGGAACAGGGTGTCATTCTCATGCCTGCCCAGTGAAGTAAATCTTCTTGTCCCACCTTGTAGATGAGTAAACTGAGCACATTCAGGTACCTGGGAGTAGAGAGCAGGGCCTCGACTCCTTGAAAAAGGATCTGGAGAGCAGATGTGGCTGTGCCAGGCCTCAGCTCATCTTCCTGCCCCTCCCTTGCCCTTGGCCAGGTTGGCGGATCTCATGGAGCAGCACCAGGAAGAGCTCGCAACCATCGAGGCCCTGGATGCTGGTGCTGTCTACACCCTGGCCCTGAAGACCCATGTGGGCATGTCTATCCAGACCTTCCGCTACTTTGCTGGCTGGTGTGACAAGATCCAGGTTGGGTATGGGCTCCTGCCCTCCATGTGAGCCCATATATGGGCAGGCTCAAGGGGACCTCTGAGGGTGGCATGCTGGCCTGGGTGCTGGAAACAAACCACCCTAGCTGAAGGCTTAACACCACACCTCTGTATTAGCTGGAGGTTCTGCAGGTGGGAGTTCCAGGCAGGCTCAGCCAGGTTCTTTACTGGTGACCTCACAGTGTATCAGTCAACTTTCCATGGCTAAAAGAAATACCTGAGCTGGGCCTAATGTTTCCTGCCTGTAATCCCAGAAACTCAGGAGGTGGAGACAGGAGGATAGCATTTCGAGGCCAGTCCCAGCAAAAAGTTAGTGAGACCCTACCTCAAAAAGAAGCTGAGAGTGGTGATGCATGCCCGTGATCCCAGCTATGTGGGAAGCATGTTACGTGGGAACAACTATGTGGGGAGCAGAGGTAGGAGGATCATGGTCCAAGGCTGGCATGGGGCAAAAAAAAAAAAAGTGTGAGACCCTATCTGAAAAACAAACGAAAAACAAAAGGGGTAGAGGTGAGGCTCAAATAGCAGAGTGTTGCCTTAGCAAGTGCAAAGCCCTGAGTTCAAACTTCAGTAGCACTAAAAAAAAAAAATAAAGTGGTATATTCTGGCTCACAGGTTTGGAGGCTCAGGAGTGTGGTCAGTTGACCCTACTACTTTTGGGACTGTGGAAGCACATTGTGGAAAGAGTGTATAGCAGAGCATAACTCACTTCATAGCAGCTGAGAAGTGAAAGAGAAAGCCAGGAGGGGACAGGGTCACACTATGCTCTTTAAGGGCATACCTCCAATGACTTAACTTCCTCCTACTAAGCCCTATCTGTTAAAGGCTTCACCACCTCCCAGTGGCACCACCTGGGGACTGAGTCCTCACATGGGCTTTTATGGGATATTCATGACTCAAGCCAGAGCAATAAATTAAGGTGACAACTAGGCTGGGCTTTATCTTGAGACTCTAGTAGAACTTGGAACTTGTTTCCAGGCCTATTCAAGTGTTGCCAGAGGTCAGTTCTTTGTGGTTGCAGGGCCCAGGTCCTTGCTGGCTCAGACTGGGGCTGCTATCTCTCATCCTTGCTCTTCATCTCCCAGTGAGAGCATGTCATCTGTGAGCTTTGAATCTCTCTGACCCTCTCTTCTGGCACTGACTGTAGAAAGCTTTCCTGGCGCTCCTGGGGCTTCTGGGCCCACATGCATCATCTCCTATTCACCGAGATACACATTGTTAGAGGAAGGTCCTAGGGATCAAGCACGGAACCTAGGAAGGTCCGAGGGAACCACAGCTGGGCTCTGTGGCTGAAGAGTACAAAGCATGAAGATGACAAGGAAGGTTGGCTGCCTTCTGCCTGTCCCCCATTCTGCTGTTGTATCTCTTCATGCTGGATCTCCCTCCTCCTGAACCTCTGGGCTGGCTCACCATGGACAGCTCCAGGAGCAGTCTGGCCTTCAAAACATCTTTGCCCTTTCTCTGGCCAACTATCAAAGCTAGAGACCTTGTCCCTACCAGGGCCAGCCTCCTGCCCAAGGTCTCTGCCTTCTGGGCTCATAGTGGAGCCAGCCCTTTGCCCTTCCTAGGTGACCACCCCACCCTTTCTGAACTCCTCAGGTGTCCTTGTCATGTGTAAGTTAGCAGCTTTGCCCTCTTTCCTGAGGGCATCATGAGGGAGTCAGTACTCAGACAAAACCTTGTTTCTCCTAGAGCCCCAGATAGGGGCTGGCTGCCCAAAGGGTGAAGGGTGAGATCCTCCCAATGACACCCCACGTTTCTTCCAGGGCTCAACCATTCCCATCAACCATGCCAGACCCAATCGCAACCTGACCTTGACCAGGAAAGAGCCTGTTGGGTGAGTCCTTGCCTGCCAAGAGGCACAGCCATGTTGACACTTTGCAGGCGACCCATATACCAGCCTGGAACTCATCCCCTTATGCATGGAACAGCTTTTCCATTCACTTCTGAAATCCTGCTCTGTGCTGGGCACTGCTGCAGTGACTTCATTAAGCCCCCACAATAACCCTATGTCAGTCAGGATCTTGGTAGTAAACAGAGAGGGTGTCCCCAAAAAAGTGCACCCCAAAAGAGTGTAGCAGGATCTGTGTGCATGAAAATGAGGATATCCTGGAGAAACAGTTGTGTCAGCCAGGGTTCTGTAGAGGAACAGTGCTGGTAGAACACACGTGCACTTATAAGATGGGTCTAGTAGACTGGCTTACATGATCAGAGGCAAGATAGTCCTGCAGTGGTTGCCTGCAGCCTGGAGGGCTGGGAAACCAGCAGCTGCTCAGTCCACAGAACAAAAGGGACCATGATGCAGTGTCAGCCCAAGGCTGGCAGCCTGGAGTCTCAGGTGTGAGTGTGCACTCAGAGGCTCAAGAATGGATCTGATGTCCTTGGACGATGGCAGAAGTGAAAAACTCAGCCACCGAAGAATCACTGAGCTTGTGCATGTGTGGGGCGCCCCCTTTCCTGTTTTTGTCCCATTGGGGCCCCCGGTCTACTGGACGGTACCGGATGGGTCTGCCCTCTCAGCATGTGGACACACATGGCAGTCCTCTCTGTGCACACTCCCACAGACACACCAGAAGTGTGATTTACCAGTTTCGAAGGCATCTCTCAATGCAGTCAAGTCGACAGCCATGATGCACCATCACAACAGTGAAAGCACAGGACCTGGAGCTCAGCAGAGGAAATACAAAGGCAGCCTACAGAGCCACCTGAGCACAGGCTGAGGGCAACACAAATTCAACCCAGTGAAGTTCCTCATCTCACTACCAGAGGGCACAAGGCAGCAATAGAAAAATGGCCACACACCTTTTTTTGGGTGGGGCTATGGGTTAACTTGGCAGTGAACATTGGGGAGCCACATGTGCCTGCCATGGAGAATCCTTCACAGGTGCACAGGGGTCTCACCCTGCATGCAGCCTGGCGTACCCTGGGGCCAGAGAGCTCTCTATTGGAAGAAAGCACTTCTTCTGCCATGGTCCCAGTATGCTTCCTTTGGAGCCTTGTGCCCAAGAAAGTGGAGAGACAGAGCAGACTGCAAGGAAGGGATGGAGAGAGAGCTCAGGCTTGTCTCACTGGGTCAACCAAGCCCTGAGGTCTCCCACTGAGAAAGGCCACCATGAATAGGCAAGGCCGGTGAAAGACTGGTTCTAAGGGCAGCTGGAACAGGGTTGTATTTACCCATTCCCTGTGGCCCATACCCCCTCTGGCTTTGACTTCGACCCAGGGCTGGTTTGCAAACTTCTAGTGCAGGAGGCTCCTCCTTTCCCCTCACTGGCAGGTATATGGGTTTTCTTGGGGCTGCTGAAACAAAGTACCACAAAATGGGGTTTAATCACCAGATTATTGGCTCACAGTTTTGGGCACTGGAAGTCTGACAGCAAGTTCTCAGCAGGGCTGTTTCCTTCTGAGAGCCATGAGAAGAATCTGTTCCAGGCCTCTCTTGGCTTCTGTGTGTGAGTCAGTTTTCTGTCACTGTGACAAAATACCTGAGATAATCAACTTAGTATGGGAAAAGGTTTACATTGGCTCAGTTTCAGAGGTTTCAGTCCATAGTCACTCTATTGCTAAAAAGATAAAATAAAGCCTATTGCTTTGGGCCTGTGGTGGCACAGCACGTCATCGCAGGAGCACATGGTAGAGAAGAGTGGTTCACTTCCTTGGCTGGGAAGCAAAGGGAAAAGAAAAGAAGAGGGTGAGGGTCCCAATATCCCCTTCTAGGCCATGGCCCCCAATGACATCACTTCCTTCCACTAGGCCCCACTTCCTGAAGGTTCTACCACCTCCCAATAGTGCCTAGACTGGTGACAAAACCTTCCACACATGGGCCTTTTTAGGGCATTCAAGATCCTAACTATGATAGGGTGGCTGCTGGCAGTCTTTGTCATTCCATGGTTTGTAGAAGTGTCACCCTGATTGTTGCCCCGGTGAGCGTGTCTATCTCTTAACATGGTCTCCTTTATATAAAGACATCTGTTACATTGGATATGGGCCTGCTCTACTCCAGTTGACACCATCCTAACTTGTTCCATCTGTAGCAACTCTGTTGCCAGCAGTCTCATTTTGAGATTCTAGGAGTTGAGACATCAACATACAGATTTGGGAATGGGAACACAACTCACCCCATAGCAGGGAACTCTTCTGATGTGTTTCCTTCTTTGGAACCCCCACAAGCCCCCTTGCTGTCTGCAGTGAACACACTTCCCTGGGAACACCTGGGAGCCTCGTGCTCTGCTCCCTGCTGCTCACCTTGTCTCTCGGGACTTGCTCGGTGTATGTGGGTGGGATGGGGAGCGGCTTTCCTCACCCCTCAGTGTGCTCCACTGCTCTTAAGTGAGGTGCAGGCATGCTCCCAGTGACCCTGTGCTCTGCAGGCCCTGGCTGACGCTCTCCATGCCAGCCTCTGCTGGACCCAGACCACATAACCCTTGAGATTCCTCACGCTGCCACCCTGCCTGACAACCCCTACACACGCCCTTCCCACTGTCTGCATCTAGATAGGAAGCCTGGGAAGCATGCTATAATGGTGATGATGTCACATAATCTGTGCGGGGGTTCATCTAACTGTCTAGCACTCACATGGAGAGCTGCTGTGGCCCCGGTGATCCAGATGTGGCCAGTATACCGCCTGTTCTTGTGCCCATGCTCCCAGTCCATACTGCCTCTGAATATGAGGTACATGTGCCCAGCCAGAGGTTCCCTCTTGGCCCAAAAGGCGGCACCAGCCATTCATGCAGAGCAGACACACTCACCAGGCCTCCCGTGGTGACTCCTTCCATGGGACTGCCCCCTGGCTTTGAGGACCTTCTTCCAGACTTCCTGGCCTGCCCTGTGACTCAGGCCCTCTCATGATCTCCTGGCCACTGTATTCTTCCCCACTGCCTGTGCCCCTAGACAGCTCCCATCAGTAACTGACTGATCAGTAACTGCCCCGCACCATGGTGTCCAGTCATGTTGCAGCCTTAGGGGTAGAAAAGGCAAAGGGACCATTGATGCCTTATTAGGAAGCCTGCATTTCAGGGTGCAGGTCAGGCCCTGGGAGAGGGACAGGAGTTGGCAAGTCCACTCTGGGCACCCAGACTGGGAAGAGGGACAGAGGCCTACTGCTTTGGTGTGACAGGGTCTGTGGCATTGTCATCCCCTGGAACTACCCTCTCATGATGCTGTCCTGGAAGACAGCCGCCTGCCTGGCTGCAGGGAACACGGTGGTGATCAAGCCTGCCCAGGTGAGTGGGGTCACTCTGGATCTGGACCAGCTGTGGGTTGTGGAGAGCAGTGGAAGCCCACTGGAGGGAGGAGGTGGAAGGCACTGATGCTGGCACATGTGAGGGTCAGAACTGTCCCATACAGACTGTTCTGGACATGGTGGGTGGGGGCAGGCATTTCCACACAGAGACCAGCACTCTGGATTTATGGAGCAGAAATCTTGCTTGATGCATTGCAACAACCCTCAGAGGAGACCTCTGCTCCTTCAGGGCCCTGGTCCAGCATGGGGGCTGCTCACAGGTCAAGGTCATTGTTTCTGGAGGGTCACCCCCATTGCTCATTGCCCTTAGGTACACTCAGCCCTGTGAGAGGCCCCTCACAAAGTCTGAAACCCCCCTCCCCGCTGCAAAGCCAACCCTGCCACAAGTTTGGCCACTGGCAAAGGCCCTGTGGGGCACTGGGAATGACAACCTTGTCCAGAAATTTACAGAAGCCAGGAGAGGAAGGGTTGTTGGGGACCTTAAAGGGCCAGAAATGTCCTCCCTTTTGATTTCCACAAGTGGAGCAGTAATCAGTTACACACTGGCTCACAGGGAGCAGCGTCCCCGAATCTTAGTAGACAGCAGCTGCTGAGGCAGCTCCACCTCCCCAGGTGGCCTTGTGTCCAGCCTAAAGATGGCAATTCTCTGGCACAACCGAGGGGCAGGATAGGTGCGCCCTGTCCCATAAGCCCAGCCCTCCGGGGACAGAGCCCTGCTAGCTAGTCCTATGGGACTCCTCAGGGATCAGTGTAAACAAACAAGAAGAAATGAGCACAGTGCAGGAAAGGGGTCTGGGGGCTGCAGCCCTCAGCAGGACAAGCAAAGGTCAGAGCTTAGCAGGTCCTTGCTTCATCCGGGGAAGCTGGATCCCCATGGTGGACCAGGCAGGCTGCTCCTTTCTGCTTGCACATGGCACTGCTGGGAGAGGACAGGGGATTCAGCACCCTGCTTCCAGCGCCTTCTTGCCCAATCTTCCTTCCTGTCCTTCAGGTGACCCCACTCACAGCCTTGAAGTTTGCAGAGCTGACATTGAAGGCCGGCATTCCCAAGGGTGTGGTCAACATCCTCCCAGGATCTGGTGAGGAACGTGGGGCAGGGAGCCACTGGGGCCAACGGAGGAGGAGACGCACTTGGGCAGAGCAGGGCCTGTGGCCAAAAGCAGCCCAGTCAGAGTCGGTGCAGCTGGCCAGCCTGTGGGGAGAAGTCTGCACAGGGAAGGATTTCAGTTTTCATAGACCGCCTGAACGGTTTCCGTTGGGCAGGCACAGGCTCTGCGATAAGTCACATGACCTTGGTATTACTGTCCTGGAAGCAGAATCTCTCTGCAGCGCATTCTAGGCTTTGGGCAGTCAGGGGCCTTGTAGCATAGTAACTAACTGCTTCTTAGCTTCTTCTGTGTTTAGTGGTCTAGTTCCTGGACAGGGTTGTCTCTCCTGTGCAGATTTAAAAATCTGCTGACACAAATACATAATATAACATTACATATTATAATAACATATAATAATATAATTATTGTTTAATAATCTCATCATTTTTCTCTGTTTTTATTCTTTTGATTGCCCTGATAGCCTCCTTATATTTTCTCTTTTTCTTTTCCTTTAAATTGATTACATTTATGAAGTTTTTCCTCATTTGTCCCCACCTGTGCTCACCCTCAAACACACAAACAAAAACTTCTGGGTCTCTTTACATATATCATTGGTTTTTTTCCTGATTTTTTTTTTGCTATTATCTTTATTATTCCCTTCTGTATTCTCCTGACTATATGTTTTGCTATTTTTTTTGTAACTCTTTGAGTTGAGAGTTTAGTTAACGAAATTTTTATGGTTCCAGTAAGGGAAGCATTTAAAAAGAGCTTTGGTGACACCTCAAGCCTACCGATGGACACTTTTACCATTGTAAATATCCCCTATCTCTCATACTCAAAAGAGTTTTTGTCTTAAAGCATGTTTTGTTAGATATAAATATAACAACCCATGCTTTCATGTGGCCACTGTTTACTGTCCTTTTATTTTCTACCTGTTCATACTGTCTGATCTTAAATTTGACTCCTTCGGACAAAATATAGGGTTGGATCTTGTTTTTTGTTATGTAGTCTGGAAATCTCTGCTTTTTGATTGGATAATTTAGCCCATTTACATTTAATGTTATTGTTGATGTAGTTGGATTTGCCATTTTACTTCTCATTCTGAGTCTTCTATCTTTTCCCCTCTATTTCTTCTTTGCTGATTTCTTTTTCATTAACTGAATATTTTCTAGTGTAACACCTTAATTCTTCCTCTCCCTCCCTTCCATTTCTTCCTCCCTTTTCTCCCTCCTCTCCTTCTTCCCTTCCCCCTCTGTGTTGCCCAGGCTACTCTCAAAGTCCCAGACTTAAGTGATTCTCCTGCCTCAGCCTCCCAAGTGCTGGGACTACAGGCATGTGTCCATGTACCTAGCTTGTATTTTAATGCTTTTTTTCCACCATATATTTTCAGTTACTATTTTAGTGGTTATGCTAGGATTTATAATCTATTCTGTAACTTATCAACATCTACTCCAGATTTATGCTAAGTCCAGAGAAATATAGATATGTCATTTCTATATCTCTTCTTTTTATGCTGTTCTTGCACATTTTATATGTATGTAACATCTGTGTGTGTTATAAACCAAATAGCTGGACACAGTAGCTCCCAGCTACTCAGGATTTGATTTGGAGGATGATGGTTTGAGGCCAGCCCTGGCAAAAAAATAGCGAGTCCCTATGTCAACAAATAAACTGGGCGTGGTGGCAGACGGCTGTAATCCTAGCTATGTGGGAGGCTGCAGGGAGGAAGATTGCTGTCTGAGGATGGGCCTGGTTCAAAAGCAAAGAGACCCTAGTTGAAAAATAACTAAAGCATAAAGAGCTGGAGGCATGTCTCAAGTGATACAGCCCCTGCTTAGCAGGCACAAGGCCCTGAGTTCAAACCCCAGTATCACCAAAAAATATATACAAGACAAATAATACATAGCTACAAATAGTTTTTTGTATAATTTTGTATCTATTAAGAAGTTGAAAAAAAAAAAAGCATGTGCTTATAAGGCTTGCTATATTTGCTTTCTCCTGTATCATTTCTGTTCTTCTCATCTGGTCCTGGGCATCTGAGTTACTACCTGGTGTCCTTTCCTTACCCCACTTCAGCTTTGCCCCTCCTTGCTCTAATGTTATACAATGTATTACATTTCTATTTGGTATGGGTGCAACAATTAATTTATATAACCTTATACAGTTGCTTTTTAAATCAGTTAAGGGATGAAAGAAAAATTAGGTATTTATGTTTTCTGTTTTTCACAGTCCCGTGAGGGATGGCTGGCCATACTTCCCTCAGCTTTTGTCTATGTGGCAGTGTCGTTATTTGCCTCCATTAAAAAAAAAAAAAAACTAGCTCACTTTACTAGATTTGAGGCTCGTGACTGAGTTTTGCAGTTTGGGATTTGAACACGTCCCCTGCCTTCAGCTGGCTGTGGCTCCATACGGGTGGAACTCTCTTTTCTCTTGCTGCTTCAAAAGCTTCTCTGGTTTTTGTCTTCCAGCATTTTTGCTATCGTATCTGGTTGTGGATCTCATCCTGTTTCTTATTTGGCATTCCTCTAGCTTCTTAGCTGTACAGATTAATATTTTTCATCAAATCGGGGACATTTTCAGTCATATTTGCTCTCAATTTTTTCCTGCTCATTTTTCTTTCTCCTCATCCTTGGGTTCTCCCAATATGCATATATTAGGCAACAAATGGTGTCCTACTGTTCTCAGGTCTCTGTTCCATTTTGTCCATTTTCTCTCTGTTCTTTAATTACATCATCTGTCAGTCCATGTTCAAGTTCACTCTTCTTTCCTCTGCCAGTCATGTCTGCTGTTGAACCCTTTATTTTTCATGTTAGTTATTGTACTTTTTAATCTGGTTCCTTTTTAAAAATCAGTCTATGTTGATGTTCTCTACATGATGAGACATTATTATCAAAGCTTCCTGTAAGTGAGGTTTCCTTCAGCTCTTTGAACGTTTTCATCGTGGCCGTCCTGAAGTCTTTATCCATCAGACACAACACCTGGGCCCTCTCACCGGCAGCTCATATTATCTTGCTGCTTTCTTGTAGTGATGGTCACACTTTCTTGTTTATTTGCAGTCTTAGTCTTTTGTTGTTAAAACTGTGCATTTTGAGCAGTATAAGTAGCAGTTCTGAATACTGATTCCCCCCACCTTTGAAAACTTCTTTTTGTAATTTGCTTGTTTGTTTAGTGACTTGGTTACACTGTTCTCATGAAATCCCTTTTTCTCAGTTTGTAGCTTCTGATATCATTCCTCATTCTGATGTCACTATGTCCACAGCAGCCTCGGCCTTGCCCAGGCCCACGGCCACCCTTGCATGGCAGCAGTTTTAGCAGGGCTCTCTGACTCTCATTTTCCCTGGTCTCTGTTAAGGTTTGCCTCTTTTGGAATCACACCCAGCTGCTCAGCTGCTTAAGCTGCAGGCTGGTCACTCAATTATTCTTGGCAATGCCCTGGCATAAATTGCAATTTCAGCCCCTTTGCAGGAGTATTTTTGATGAGTTGTTCTTACCCCAGACAGGCTCTTCCCTCATCCTTTCTGGTAAACTGCCTGACCTCCAGTTTATCTTACTGCTCCGCAGAGGTACCAACCTCCCTTTCTGTTGCTCACACCCAAATCTGCATTGTTTTGACAGTGCCCCTCGGATTGAACTTCTCCACATGTCTCACATAAAGTCAGCTCCCTTGGGGATTTTGGAGAGCTCTCTGTTCTTAGGGACAGCCTTACCTCCTGGCCAACATCTCTGAGCCACAGTCTCAGGCATTGGGTCTGATGAGGGAGCTGGGGTTGGGCAGATGGGGCTCTAGTATTCTCAGCCTGCCATACCTGAGGGAGAGCCTCACCTTATGACGGGAGCTGGGTGGAGAAAAGAAGCACTCAACTTCTCAGCTGTATTGGCCAAGAATTTAGTGTTTTGCAACCCATAGTTGAGTTGGGAACTGCTAGAGGCCTGCCCTCCTGGTAAGATGCAGCAAGAGCACCCCTGTGGTGGGTGGACTCGTCAGTGGGGAGAGGAGCAGAAGATGTGGATGGTGTCCTGAGGGCCATGGACTCACTGTTCTCACCGAGATTTCATAGGATTTCTTGAGTTCATATTTCTCTATTTGCTGTAGACCTTAGGAAAATTCCAGAGACTTTGCCAGTTGTTTTGAAATAATTGTGACCAGTGTGGTTGCTTCCTTGGGAAACTGTTCACAGGCTCCTTAAGCTCACCTCCCAGAACTGCACTTTGAAATATGTTATGTTTTGTTTTATTATTCTTAAGTAAGATATGTGATTGTAGTTTTAATGTCTCTTTGACCTAGGAGGGACAAAGACTGTTTTTAATTTCCCAAGAGTTTTTTCCTGAAATTTTGTCCTAAGTTTCTACTTTTATTGTATTGTGATCAGAGAATTCAGCCTGTGTATTATCTTGCTAACACTGCTGTAGCAAAGGGCCAGAACTGAGTGGCCCAAACCACAGAGACGAGCTGTTCCAAGTTCTGGAGCTGAGAAGTCGGACATGGTTCTGGGGAACACCTCTTCCTACCTTGTGGAAGCATTGTCCTATGTGTGGTTTTACCTGTACACAGCATTTTTCCTGTGTGTGTGTGTGTGTGTGTGTGTGTGCGTGCAAATTTCTCCTTTTTAGAGGGGCACCAGTCATATCGGATAGGGCTTACTCAATGACTTCATCTCAACTAGTTATCTCTTAAATGATTCTTTTCCCAAATAAGGCCACATTCTGGGGTACTCAAGTTTAAGATGTTGCTATATGAGTTTGGGTGGGGATACAATTCAACCCATAACAGTCTGTAAAAATTCTACTTTCTAAAAGGTAGGACTTGTCAGCCAGTACCTACCTTTAGTGAATGCTGGGTAACCTAAAACAATGTATTATTGCTGTTGTTTAATATACTTTTATTATTTAGAACAGTTTTAGATTGACAGACAAACTGGGCAGAAAGTCCAGGGAGTCCCCAGGTACCTCCTGCCCCAAGCCCCACCCCACTGCCACACTACACACCAGCATGGCACAGTTGCTGTAGTCAGTGTGCCTACACAGACACCTCGTCACTGCCTACAGCCCAACTTGCATCAGGGCTCACTCTTGTACATAGTGCAGATTTGGACAGATGTGCAGTGACCTGTCTCCACCATTACAGTTCATATGCAGTACTTTTACTGCCCTAAAAATGCTCCATGCTGCCTGTTCACCCCTCCCTCCTCCTGCACCCTGACCACCCCTATCCTTTTCCTATCTCCATAGTTTGGCCTTACCCAGACAGTCATAGAGTTGGAGTTACACAGTCTGTAGCCATTTCAGATTGGCTTCTCTCACTTAGCAATATTCATTGAAGGACACTATGTGGCTTTCCGTGGCTTCTAGCTCACCTCTTTAGCACTGAACAATATTCCACCATCTGGATGTGCCACAATTTATTAGCCCTTCATCCACGAAAGTACATCTTGGTTGTTTCCAAGTGCTATTGATTGTAAATACAGGGGCTGTAAACAATGCCTGGGTTGTATGTGGATGTAAATTTTTGGCTCCTTTGGGCAAATACCAAGAGGCACAGTTGCTGGATCATGTGGTGTGAACATGTGGTTTTCTCAGAAATGGCCAGGTGCCTTCCGAAGCAGCTACACCACTGCACAACAAGCATGAGTGAGTTCCTGCTGCTCCTCACCCCTGCCAGCATTTGCTATTGTTCGTGTTCTGGATTTTGGCTATTCTAATATGTGTGGGATGGTATCTCATATTACTTTAATTTGTATTTCTCTAATGAGAAACGACACTGAGCATTTTTATATGCTTATTTGTCCCTGTGTATCTTCTCTGGTGACACACAGCCGTTCACATCTTTTGCCCAGTTTTTAATGGGTTGTTTGTTTTCTTATTGAGTTTCAGTGGTTCTTTTTATATTTGAGATACAAATAATAGCTTTAACAGTTCTTTGTCAGATATATCTTTGCAAATACTTTCTCTCCCAAATGATGATTTAACAGGAGTGGTAGCTTGGAATTAGCATCAGAATCATGGGTGACATTAGCTTGATATAAAGGGAGGCCACCAGGTGTCTTCCAAACCTCTGGAACCGAGATCTTCACAAATGTACCTGGACACATGGCTGTTACCAGCCTAAAGTCAGGGAGCAGGGGACAGACAGAGGGAATGGGCAGGCCGAGGAGCCCCAGGACTGGGTAATTTGTAGGGCAGGACTGGGTAATTTGTAGGGCAGGGAAGGGAAATGTCAAGAATGACTCACAGGTTCTTGTCTTGAACAAACTGGCTGCAAGGGAGAGTTGTTTACTAGGCTGGAGAGTCCTGGAGGGGTATGGGACCAGGGGAAGATTAAGAGTTCCATTTCAAATGTGTTGAATTTGAGAGTCCATAAGACTTCCAAGCACAGATGCCAAGTAGGCAAAGGATGGTAAATGGATCTGGATTCCAGGGGAGCTTGGCTGGAGACACAGGTTTAGGGCATGACATGCCAAAGCCTACAGAGATCAGCTGAGGAGGCCATGTAAACTGAGGAGAGGAATATGCCCAGGGAGCAGGGTGCTGGGTATTTTAAGACTGAGTAAGCAAGGAGATTGAAAAAGAGCAGTCAGAGGAGTAAGAGGCATACCAGGAGAGCAGGAGTCAGAGGCCAAGTCCTTGTGGGAGGAGGAGGCAACAGACAGCAGGGAAGTCCAGCTTAAAGTTTCACTGAAGCAGAGACATGAGGAACATGTGCCCAGGGTGCAGTGTGGAGTGGGAAGGTGTGGGGCGGGGAGCAAGGCCAGGAATCAGAGCTTTCCAAACAGGGAACAGCAGCACCAAGGCTCCTCATGGTTAGCTGCATGACAGTGGAGCCTGTTATGCCTAGAACACCCCATCCCCATGAACCTGACCAGGCGTCCTTGGGTCTCTGCTGGAGGCTCTGCAGAGCTGGCTGGCTGAGTGGTCTTGCCACGGTCCCACCTGATAGGTGAAAAGCCACATGAGGAACATACAGTTTGCTGGCTTGGCATGACAAAAGTACAACAGATTGGGGACTCTGCTGTCACAAGTTATTTGTCACAATTCTGGAGGCTGGAAGTCCAAGGTGTTGATAGGGCTGGTTCTTCCTGAGGCCTCTCCCCTTGGCTGTAGATATTGCCTTCTCCCCGTGTACTCTCCTGCTTGCCTCTCTGTGACATCCATCTGTGTTCTAGTCTCTTTTTCTTACAATGACATTAGTCACATTGGAACAGGCCCACCCTAAGGACCTCATTTAACTGAATTACTTCTTTAAAGACTCTGTTTCCAAATACAGTCATATTCAGAGGTACTAGAGGGGTTAGAACTCCAACATTTGAATTTTAGGACACACAATTCAGCCCGTAACAGGGGCAAGGCCCAGTGAGCCCAGGCACTAGGAGCACTGAGCTGGGTGTAGATGTGTGAGGGGCCGGTAACTGGACTGTAACTTTCTCAGTACCACAGGGCCACCCTGACTCCCCACTTTTGCCCGCAGGCTCGCTGGTCGGCCAGAGACTCTCAGATCATCCCGATGTGCGGAAAATTGGGTTCACAGGCTCCACAGAGGTGGGAAAGCACATCATGAAGAGGTAGGTGGCTGGTGAGGTGGGGGGAGCCACGCTGGCCATGGTGTGGGGGTGTGCTATCTGGCAGTGTGTGCAGCCATCCCCATGGCTGTGTTCAATGCCAGTGCTGACTCTGTGTTTCTGACAAGCCCTTAGGAGACCTCTGGAGCTGTCCTGCAGAGCCCAGTTAGGTCCTGGCACCTCACCACTGGACATGGGGCCCCAGTCCCCTGTGGCAAAGTGCTTAAAGTGGGGCTGATCTGAATTAAAATGTGCTGAGAGTGTAAAATAATCACTGATATAAAAAACTCAGCAGACATAAGTCAGGTGTGGGTGACACACACCTGCAGTCCCACCACCCAGGAGGCTGAGGCAGGAGGATCGTTAAGTTTGAGGCCAGTCTGACTAAGTTTGAAGTCAGTCTGGCTACATAGCAAGACCTTGTCTGAAAACACAAACAAAAATAATGCACAAAAAAGTTAAGTACTCATTCATCATTTTCTATTGATTGCAATTTGAAAGATAGTATCTTTATTAGTTAGGTTAAATAAAATCCTGACTCACTACTGGTTCTCTATATCCTGGGGTTCAACATCTGCAGATTCAAACAACTGCAGATTGGAATGTGCTGGTGGCTCATGCCTGTAATCCTAGCTGCTTGGGAGGTTGAGATACGAAGGATCTGGTTCCAAGACCAGCCCAAGCAAAAAGTTCACGAGACGCCATCTAAACCAATCACTGGCTGTTGCAGTGTCCTTACTCCAAGGACACGTGACTGCCCATCTCTGTTTTGCTGTAGTCACCATGTGACTTTCCAGGGCAGCCCAGTTCCCGTGTGTCAGATCATGCTCTTGTGTTGTGCAGGATCCCCCCATTGTAGCTCCCAGAGTTCTCAGGGACCCTTTGGCTACCCCAACCCCACTCTCCACAGGCCCCTGAACCCTGCAAGTTGCGCTTGCAGCCCTCCGCCTGCACACAGCCTCTGTTGGCTGGCCCAATGTAGCTTGGGCATCTTCCATCATGAGTGCACACCACACTCTTCACCTGACACCCCTTTTGGCTCAGAGGCTACCAACAATGCATTGCATAGTCAGGGTCAGATGGGGGCTGCTTGGATCCATTTTGAGCATTCTGCAACTGGACAGCCCTGCCTCAAGGCAAGTCTCAGTGAGAGGAATGATGGACAAACAGATGCACAGACAGGCGGGAGGAGGGGCAGTAGCTTCCAGGAGTCATGGCAGGCTGTTCACCTCTCTAGCCTAAGAGCCAGCCCATGTTCCCCTCTGCAGCCAGCATGTGGGTGGCGATCCCATCACAGCACACCACACTGGTCCAAAGGGGGTTCTCAGAACTCCTGCAAGGAGAGCTTAGGGGGCAAGGTTTGGGAGCACCCTCCACCCCCGCCACCCCATGTGTCTCAACAGCCGTGTCTCCATGTGGTTGGCACTTGAGAGGAGCACTTCTCCCCAGTTGGTCCTCACAAGGAGGCCTATGCCCGAGGCCATGCCTGGTATCTTTCTGACTTTCGGCTGAGTGTGTTGAAAACAGCGTCCCTGCACCTGGTTTCTTGTCCACCAGCACGCAGTGTCCATGATCCCCACCTCTGTTTGCACTGCCACTAAAACACTGGGATGCCAGAGCTCCTGGCCACTGCAGCCACACCAGCTGGGAATGATTTTGTTTCTGATTTATTGAGCAGCAGCTGTGTGCCAGGCACAGAGCTAGGCACTGGGGATGTTCTAGGACCACCATGCCTGCTGTGATGAGACATGTTCTGCAGGTGGAGCCAGACCTAAATACACAGAGGAGCAGAGAGCAGCAGATGGGCACACAGGGAGGGACTGTCTTTTTTGGGACAATCTGAGGCAGCTGTAAGAAGGGCACAGTGCAGCGGAGGCCTTAAGGCCTGAAGGAAGAGCAATCCAGATGGTGGGGACAGTGACAGGCCTGTGGTATTAAAGGATGGCTCCATTATAGGATGGAGCCAGTGTGGGCATGGGTTGAAGGCACGGGGCCAGGCCTTACTCTTTGAAACTGTCCTAGGAGCCATCTGTGCTTCAGGGCTCCCAGGCACCAACCCCAACCCTCTGTTCCTTGCAGCTGCGCCCTGAGCAATGTGAAGAAGGTCTCCCTGGAGCTTGGCGGGAAGTCGCCTCTTATCATCTTTGCTGACTGCGACCTCAGCAAGGCTGTGCAGATGGTGAGGGCCGGGCCTGGGTTGGGGAGGCACAGGGAACCTGACTCCATAGTCAAACTCCTGCAGTTAGCCTAGCCTCAGTGGACACTGTCCATGGTGTCACCACAAGCATAGCATGGCAAGGAGACTTGAGGCAAGGATGACATATGTTCTCCCAAATGTCCCCAGAAGTTTCAGAGCCTTCAGAACCACTGAATCAGCTGCACAGGTGGGGAACACAAGCCAGGCCCCACCTGTCCTGAAGTGAGCAGGGTAGCCTTTCCTGACTGCAGGGAAGCAGACAGTCCCAGAGCTGTGTTCATGACTCTGATGGGGTCCACTGTGCACCGGGATGGAGGAAATGCCCACCTTCTAGGGTTGTCACAGTGGACAGTGGTGTGTGTGGCACATGCCTCAGGAGTGTAGGGACTGTTCTTACCATTAGTTTTTTCATTATGCCTTTGCCCCTCTCCAGTCCTGGTGGAGCAGACTAGTAAGGCCACTTTCAACCAGATGCCCAAATATGCCCTCAACCCCTACATAAGCCCCACTCTGCCTTGGAGGAGCATGTGACACCCCAACATGGTCAAAAGAGGGAGTCCAGCCTCAAGGCCAGGACCTTGTTCACAGTCCTCTGGTGAGCCCATCAGTCCCAGGACCTTGGCCCCAGTGGCAAGGCCAATGATGCAGGACCCTGAGCAAAGCCGGAGGCTTAGCTGTTTTCAGGACAGCTGGACTTGACACTGGCCTTCCTTCCTCCCTCACATCCCACAGAGGGCTCCCCAGGCTTCCAGAAGCGTGCTCTAAGTGCCCAGGTTCACTCCTTGTTCTCCATCGTCTGCAGTGTAGACAGCAGCCTTGTTCTGCAGCAGGGGAGTGAGGGCTCCGCCTGTCTCTCTCTTGCCATGTGGCCTTGTGCCTTCACTTCCCATACTGCCACCTCTTGCCACTCCTCTACTGACTGAGGATTGTGCGGGATGTCTGTGTCAGTGTCAGTGGCCCTGGCCTGGAAGGCAGGCAAGACACTGATGCACCTCCATTTCCTATGAGAAGGGGCAGCAGCCCTGGTGGGGAGCAGGGCAGGAGCTGAGAGGATTGGTAACCTGGCATTCTTGCTCGTTCTCTAAAGGGGATGAGCTCCGTTTTCTTCAACAAAGGGGAGAACTGCATCGCAGCAGGACGCCTCTTCGTGGAAGACTCAATCCATGACGAATTTGTGCGGAAGGTGGTAAGTTCTGCCCCAGGGTCAGTAGCCTGGGCTGGAGGGGGTTGGAGGGAGGGAGGCAGGGCTGAGCTTCCCAATTTATGAATCCTCCACCTAGGTCAGGGGGCCTATGGGAAAGTGGGCTGGTTTTTATGTTAAGTGAGAAGCGAATTCCATGGCTCAAATTAACATAACCCAAAAGGGCCTGCAGGCTGGGGTGCCGTTAATTGGTGCAGTGCTTACCTAGCATGTGCAGGGCCTTGGGTTCCATCCCCATTCCGCCAGTATCAGGGTGAGGCTCCCCAGAGGTGGATCCTGAAGCTAGAATGTCATTTCCTTACAGCTGGCGTTCTCCAGGTGAAGCCTGGCAAGCAGAAGGGGCCAGGAAAGCAAGGGGACAGAGCAGAGCAAGGACAGGGTAACTTAGGCCTGACTTCCCCCACAATGGGAGTTCTGGAACATGAAGTACCCCACACAGGTGCTCTAGAGTAAAGGCCAGGCTTTGGTCTGGCGTTGTTGCTGCAGACTCTGTGGAACGGAGGAGGGCAGCTCCCAAAATCATCTGCAGCCACCTCACAGCCACTGGGATCTGGCAGGCTCTGAGCAGCCTCTTTCCATGAATTTATCAACTCTTTTAACCAAACCCAGAACAGGTTTGAGGCTGGCCTCTGGGACAAATGGGTTATCTTGAACTCGTAGGGGTATCTTTTTTTTTTTGCCTGTACTGGAGATGGAACCCAGGGTCTTGTCCATGCTAAGCAAGCACTCTACCACTAAGCCACACCCAGCCAGGAATATCTTTAATGTCTGTTTGCTTTGTTTAACTTCAGGTTGGCTTCATTTTCTCCAACCAGCCTCAGAATGTAGGGGTGTGGGATTGGCAGTTCTAGCTTGACAGTCTTATAACATAGAACCAGAAAGAGAAAGAACTCCCCCTCCCAAGTCTGTTGGAAAAAGTCATGGGGAAGGAGACAGATTGGCTTGACCTGAGCCTCTCTCTGTCCTTAATCCAGACAGCAATGCCAGGGATGGCAGCTAGTGTTGGCTCTGCTGAGCTTCCCCCACCCTAGGTCCTGGAGAGCAGAGCTAAAACTCAGTGCATATGTTCAGGGATACTAGAAAGACAACACCCTGTGATGTGACAAAGTGACAAACTATTGTTAGGAAGCCAGGGGGAGAGGGCTGTGTGCTGAGGACAAGGTGAGATGGCCATTTGAGAGGAATCGGGGTGGAAGGTCTATGATTTAGTCAACTTTCTATTGCTGTGACAAAATGCCTATGATGAACAACACATAAGGAGGAAAGGTTTACTTTGGCTCACAGTTTCTGAGTTTCAGCCCAGGATCTCTTTGGGCCTGTGGTAGCGCAGTACATCATGGAGAGGAGCATATGTCAGAGCAGAGCTGCTCTCCTCAGGGAAATAGAGAGGGAGAGCTGGGAAATAGAGAGGGAGAGCTGGGGTTCCAGCATCCCTTCAAGAGCACATCCTCAGTGACCCAACTTCCTCCCACTAGGTCCCCTCCTTGAGGCTCCCCCACCTCCTGACAGCACCTTGGTCTAGTGAGCAGGCCTTTAGACATGGGTGCTGGTACTGGATCTTGAGTAATGGGTTCAAGTGTGAAAGGCGGTTAAAGGACTATGTACATGGGACTCTGCTTTTGTTGTGTAGCAAATGACCCTCAAGCCCAGTGGCTGGGAATGACAGCCATTCACTTAGCTCACCACCCCACAGGCAGCAGTTTGGTCTGGGTTGGACTTGCTCAGACATCTGCGTTAATGTCCTGGGCAGCCAGGGGCTGAGTTGGATGGCTGGGTGCCCTGTGGTCCTTCATTCTGCAGTTTGTGCTCAGGTAGTGGCAGGACCCTCACAGGAGTGAGAGCAGAGTTTAGATGTCTCTGGGAGTTCACAGAGCATTGCTTCTCCATTTCCTGTTAGCCAGAGCACATCACGGCAACTGTAGATTCAAGGGGTGGCAAAATGGATTCCACGCTCTATGAGACACACCACCAAGAGATGTGTGCGTTTGTAGGAAGGAGCTGGCCAGCCTGGCAGAGAGAGTCCTCTTGCTGTGACAGGCTCAGCAGAAGAGTAGCTGAACCAGGATACAGACCCAGCAACCACCACAGACAAGGTGGTCCTGGGGAGTGGGGGTCACTGAGCAGAGTATGGTTGGGTGGGGAGAAGCTGAGGTCCTGCCTGGGATCTGAAAGGGAGTCATAAGACTCCCACAGGGTGAGCACAGAGGCCAGAGTCCCAGGAAAATTCTCCACAGAGCCACAGCCTATATTAGCCTTCCGTTACTGTAATGAAATACCTAAGGCAGGCTATTTTTATAAAGCAAACAGGTTTATCTCAGCTCAGCTTCTGGATGCAGAAGTTCCAAACAAGATGGTTGGTACAGGCTTTAGCGTTATGTCACGGCAGAAGTGTGTTTTTAATCAGTGTGTGGACTTTCTCCCTCTCCTTATGAAGCTACCAACACTAGTTGTGAGGGCTCCACCTTTGACCTAATCACTTCCCAGAGACTCTGCTTTTAAACACCACAGCTGGATTAAGTTCCTACTGTCTTAATGCCATTAACCTAGAACTTTGAAACTCATCCTGACTGAGTTTGGGAGGAAAACTATGTTCAAACCGTAGCACATCCATACCAAGGATGAGAGCAGCATCCGGGAGACTCAATGAGGTCAGAAGAGACTTGGGCACAGTTTGAGTGTCCAGGGCAGGAGCAGAGGGTAGGGAACAAAGGAGTAGAGGGTTGGTGGTGGAATGGGAGTCCTTTTCAGGACAGTTGGGGCACTGGGGGCCCTGCTGGAAAGGACCAAAGGGCGTCCCTGGTGCCTGAGCTCCACCTGCATCTCTTTAGCGCTGGCTGGGGTATCCATCACACAAGAATGAAGTGGCCCTAAGCTTGGCAGGAGAGGAGGAGGCAGCTGTTCACCCTGACCAGAATGAGGGTGGAGACACCTTATCCCATCTTAGGACATCAAGAAAGGCTGAGAGAAAGGCTGCTGCAGGAATGGAATTCCAGCCTGAAATCCCATGTCTTGGTTCGCTTTCTGACTCCCTCCACTGCCCCAGGCTCCAAACTGTTAGACATCTCTTCTGTGGCCTCCCTGAGGACACAGACCCGCATCTCTAGACAGTGAAGCCTGGGTTCACTTTTATGCTGGCTGAGGAGCAGAGAAGGCTTCCTGGAGGATGCTTCCCGAAGCAGGCAGAAACGGAAGCGGGGATGGGTGCTCCTGTCTCAGGCTGTTCCACTCCACTTGGTGTCTGTCCCACTCTGTCACTTGAGCCTATTGCAGCAGGATGGTACCTCCAGCCAGGCCGTCCCATATCCTGGAGTCCCTGTGACAAACAGTCCCTTCAGGTACATGGCAGCAGGTTCAGGACTGACGAGAGCCACACCTGTTCTGTACCTGGTGTCCAAAAAGCTGGTCACACACACCTGTCTTCCTCTCCTGATCACCCTCATCACTGCATACCTCCACTTCCCAGCCTTTCTGCAACGAGGCTTGGGGCTCCCCTGGAGTCTCTGTACCTCTACATGTAGGAGACATTTGGGTTTTTGGCCTGGGAGGTGAGTTTGGAACCAGAATTGGCAAGTCTTAGGAGCTGGGAGACAGCATGTGGACTTTCTTTAAGGATCAATAGTGGGTACAAAAAATGCAAACATGGTTTGTTTGTTTATTTATTTATTCAGCCAGTTCTAGTGTTTGAACTCAGGTCTTCATGCTAGCTAAGCAGGCACTCTACCACTTGAGCCACACTTTCCAGCCTTCCAAAAAATCCAAACATGGGAGGTGAGCCAGGTGGTGGCCATCAGAAATGGCAATAGCATCTGAACTACACCTGACTCAAGGACTTTCTGCAGGTGGAGGAGGTGGGGAAGATGAAGATCGGCAACCCCCTTGACAGGGGCACCAACCATGGGCCGCAGAACCACCAGGCCCACCTGAGGAAGCTGGTGGAGTACTGCCAGCGTGGAGTGGAGGAAGGGGCCACGCTGGTCTGTGGTGGGAAGCAAGTCCCTCGGCCAGGTCAGAGTCCTCCCTACTCAGCTGGGTAAACAGCCTCTAGCTTCAGTCTGGTTCTAAATGGAGAGAGTGGAAGGCCAGGGCCCGGCGCAGCCAGGATTGGGCCTTTGATCCATTCTGGAATTTTAGGTAGAGTGGGCCTTAGTGATTTGGACACCTGCCAGGCCCAGCTAAGGGCTTGCAAGGTAAGGGGCCAGAATGGCAACATCTCCAGGGCTAGTGTGAAACTGTGTTGTACTGGACTTGGATGGCTATTAATATCATGGTCCCTTAAGAGTTCCTCTTCCTGTGGGTTCCCTGACCCATGATTCAGTATTGAGTCTTTGGCTCTTGGTTCTCAACAGTTGCTCTTTGGCAGAAACTCCCTTTGCACTTCACTTTGGTGGAGGTGTGTCCTCAGGGCTATCCTTAACTGGAGTGCTTCCTGTAGTGGGTCCTTTTCTGGAGAATCTCATCCCCGCCCCATGGCTTAGTCTCCCTTCCCCCAGAGACATGCCTCAGTCTCACCCCGTTCGGAACTCCTGACTACCCAGCCAGCGGCTCACTACACCTGGTGTCTCCAGTCACTGCTACCTCAACAGCCATCACAGCGTCGCCACTTAGCCTGACTCTTCTGGAACCCTCTTTCTGGAATCCTCTTCCTGATCAAGCCACTCCCCAACCCACAAGAGCAGAGCCACAGGGATGCCCTTTTGTGTTGCTCACCTGTGCACTGCCTGCTCCACAGCACAGGGGCCATGTCTACCTTCCCCTGTCAGCTCCTCCAAGCATTGCACAGAGGAGGGTCTCAGCTCACTGATGGATGAAGTGGGAAAGAAAGGATAAGGCCCAGGCTCTTCTCTCTTTCTTACCCCCTATTTTTAATTGGTTCCTGGTTCTGTTAAGTCAGTTATCTTTCTTGTGCCTTGGCTCTTCTGCAGCCTGGCTACCTTCTTGTCCTATGGGGATCATCACAGCAGCATCTTGAGTGGCTTTGTGAGCCCTGATAACCCTTCACTTACACAGCTGCTAGGGCCTGGGCCTCTGTCCTCCAGGGCTCAGACACTTCAGTAGTGCCATCCTCCAGCAGTGACAAGTCCACATTTCTTAGCCCTGCACCCTTGCCCTCTCGTGATCTGTTCGACTAGCCCTCGATCCATACTCTGACCATATCTTACACCTTTCTGGATGCTTCTCACCTCTTGCCCTCTGCATTTGCTGTTCCTCTGCCTGGCACACCATTCCCTAGTGCCCCACCCAGAGAACAACTTGTCATTTAGCTCAAACAACATCCCAGCACTAGGAGTTCCTAGAGGCTGGAGACAGTGTTACCATGGCCTTAGCAGGGCATGGATGGCAAGGTTTATTAGCGGTTGATGAGAGAGAGTATAGTGAGGGCACACTCACAGAGCAAGGTGAGAGACCTGAGAAAGGCCATTGGAGCCCCCAGACCCAGAGCTGTCACATCCAACCCCTGACATGAAGGGGTACAAGGAGAGTGGAGAATTTCTGGACCCCAGTGAGGAGCAGATCATGAGTTCGGGGCTGCCTCTTTTTGTGAAAATGCACCTGGAAGGCAGAGGACAAAGGATCCTGGACATGAAGTGCACTGTCGGGAACCAAAGCAGCACAGGGGAGGAGAGGGAGGAGATGGAGAAGCAGCCCAGTGCCCTGGCTCCCAGCGGGCAGCACGTGGTTGTCCACTGAAGCCAGTCCACGTCAGCCAACAGGCATGGTACATGCCAACAGACATGTACAATCTTACAAATTGTAATCCATGTTAAAGTGTAATTTATAAATGTGTGAAAATCCAGTCATGTCTTGCTTAACAGCCTTTGAGTCAATATTGGACCTCATAAATGACTGCTACCCTGTAAAGTTATATTGCCTAGGACTGGAGTAGCTCAGCCATGGGGTGCTTCTGTGAGGCCCTGTGTTCCATCCCCAGAACCATAAGGAAAAAAAAAAGACTTTACTGCCATGTGACATCAGGGCTCTTAGTTGACGTAAGCACTCTCCAAATTGCCGAAGGTCCCATTTCTCCATTGTTAAGTAACGCATGGCTCTACTGAATATTTTAAAGCTTTAAAAAAACTAGACTAGACTGAGTAAATTTCAAGTCTCTCAACCTTCTGAAAGCTGGGTAGAATTACATCAGAGTCTGGGAGGTTCTCAGGAGTGTCTCTGCATCTAAAGAAGAAATAGTCAGAGGATTCCTACCATCAGAAGTGGTTCTGTCCCAGCCACCATGGCCTGTGGGCTGGTGGTCCAGGGTAGAAGGAGGTGGTCAGCCCTTCTTGACTCAAGCAGCCCTGTGAGAGAGGAGTTAGGAGAAGGGAGAGTCCCAGAGGTCTTGTTGGGCTGATCAGTGTGCAGAGCACCTCCTTTGCAGCTCCTATTCCATGCTGCAGCAGCCAGGCCAGGGGGAGAGCCACCTGGGAGGCCCCCTGTGCCAGGGAGTCTAGATGTTTTCAGACTAAACAATGCTAGGACTTTGCCATGGGCTCTGGCATTGGAGTCAGAGACCCTTGTCAAGTCTCAGCTCCATCACCCACCAGCTCTATGAACTTGGGCCTTGTTTTCCTCCACAGCATTTAGTTGAAAGGCCGTGAGGATCACAAAATCTGTCTGGTGGGAGAGCCATCCATAGATTTTGGCACCCCTCACACAGGTGCCACACCATTGCATTTCTACAGTGGGTCATCTGCACAGTTCTGGTGTGACCCAGGGCTTGGTGGGGCCCGTGGCGGACTGCACCTCCTATGTACCAAAGGCCTCTGTCTCCTCTGCAGGCTTCTTCTTTGAGCCAACTGTCTTCACGGACGTGGAGGACCACATGTTCGTAGCCAAGGAGGAATCCTTTGGGCCCATCATGATCATCTCTCGGTTTGCTGACGGGTATGGAATCTGACTTCTGCCTCTCAGGCCGATGCTTCCTTGTATGACTGGGGTCTTGGCATGAGCTTTGGGAGGTGGTGCATGGCAGCCAGGAGGACTCAGATGGGAGGAAGCTGTGGACGCCGTCTGAGGGAGGACACACTTTCCTCCTCCTGTGAGGAGCCCGTGACCAGGACAGCTTCGAGGGCCACTGTGAGCAAAAGGCAGCTCCCCCTGTCCTGCCCCTCCCTGTGCTCTCTGTGTGTCTCTAAATGTCCTACAGCCTGCAGGTCCTGTTCTGATCCCACACTGTCATGCACTAAACCACCCTGGAACCACAGAGCCTGGATGGCGAAAGTACGGAGCATCACTCAGGAACCTGCACGTGACTCTTGGCTCTGTGTCATTTCTGGGCCCTCCTGGGACCTCTGGAGCAGCTGTGCTCACGTGGTTTTGGGGTCTCCTGAAGGCTCTCTCTTCAGGGCAGCCAAGACCACAGACCTGACACCAGCTTCCCTGCAGAGGGCAGCTGTAGGAGGCAGGGCTCCTATGACCTGGCCTCAAAACTCCCATCACATCCCGCCCCCTGCCATAGTCTCTTGATCCAGCAGCTGCCACGGCCAGCTGGATTGAAAGAGCAGTGAGCACTGCTCTTTGGACACACTTGACCTTCTACACCGTCTTTCCCTGGCTTTATACAGCACCTTTGCACAAACTGCAAAACAGCATTTCAGCCTCCCCTTCTAGCAACTGTCAAAAATACTGAACTTGTCAGCATTTTCTGATTTTATTGGAACAAGAGGCTGTACTGCCATCTACGAAGCAGATACTATAATAGGCCTTAGGTCTCTGAGTGTGTGAATGCTCAGCCAGCCTAAGTGCCCACACGGGCCTTTCCCCTGTCCATAAAGAAAGGGGCCTGCTGATGCTCCCTGGGGCCTTAGGGGCCCACTTTTTATGAATCTGCATCTACTCTTTCTCATCCCACCACTTTTTTTTTTGAGACAGGGTTTGACTCTGTTGCCCAGGCTGGCCCTGACCTCCTGGACTCCAGCAATCCTCCCACCTCAGCTTCCTTGATGCTGGGACCACAGGTGCATGCCACCGTGCTGGTTCTCCTCCTCACTCATGCTTTCCTCTCTTCACTGCGCCTTCTGTCCCCTGCAGACTTGGTTTAACTCAGGCACTTCTTTTCCGTTTTTAGTCTTGTGCAGCCGGGATCCTGGTCTTTCTCACCCTTGCGTCCAGGGCTGAGGCCTCTTTGAGTCCTCCCTCTGAGATTTCTTGGGTTTTCCCCACAGGGACACGGATGCTGTGCTGTCACGAGCCAATGCCACAGAATTTGGCCTGGCCTCTGGTGTTTTCACGCGGGACATCAGCAAGGCCCTGTATGTCAGTGACAAGCTCCAGGCAGGCACTGTGTTTGTCAACACATACAACAAGACTGACGTGGCTGCTCCCTTTGGAGGATTCAAGCAATCTGGATTTGGCAAAGACCTAGGTAACCTAATCCTGCCTGCAGGGTGGCTTTCATTTCTTCATTCAACAAACATCTGTTAAAGGCTGCTGGTTCCCAGGTCCCGTCCCAGATGTTGGGGTATCATATTGAACAAGATGACTGCTAGGAAATCAGTTCTTACTAGAAGGGGAAAAGCAATAATTAAGTCAGTGAGTGCAGAGAACAGGAGTGCTGGGAAGAATGTGAGAACCACCACTTGGGGAAGGAGACTTTAGTTGGGGACAGAGGGTCCCCTCTGAGGGGGCGGCACTGCTCCTGAAGTTGAGTGGGGTGGAGGATTTGGCTATAAAATCCAGATATATGTTCATAGTAGAGAGAGCAGCCTTGGTCTTGGAGCTGCACAGAGATGGGAGTGGTTGGTATGGGCTGGACAGCAAGGAAAGAGACCTGAGACACAGGAGGGCCAGATCTCAGGGTCCTGGGGACCACAGTGACAGTTGCTCCACCTGACAGATGTGGGGAGCTTGGCTCGCCCCTCTTTCTCAGGGCTGCTCTGTGTCTTAAGTCTTGTTCTGTCCTGCTGCTATGGAAAATGACAGCTGGGGACTGGACAGGCCTGACCTGCAAGCTGGATGGGGCCTGGGAGGAGCAGGATGCTGACTCTGAGAGGCCTGGATGTCTCTCCCAGGCTCCAGGCCAGCTCGGGGACTCGCAGGGAGGGTCAGGTTGAGATTGGAATCAAGGGAGGTCACTATTTCTATTCTTCCCTTCTCCATCCTTCAACTCCCAGGGTGTTTGTGAAAAGAGCCCCACAACACCTCACAAGATCAATGCACACTCTCTGCAGCCCTGAACAGGGGTGGTACGTGTACATACATGTAGACTACCCTTCTACTCCCACCGTCCTCTGTCACCAGGATACCACCACAGGAATTCATGGGGTGTCCAGGAACACCACGGTCACCAATACCCAGGAGAAGATCTCAGTCACTTAGGATTCTTCCCCACTGTGGGCACTGTGTCCTGTACAAAGGAGACCAGCACCCCCCACAGACACAGGGCCCATGCATTCCACTCAGCTTGCCTGGGATGGGCCAGAGACAGGGGCACAGCAGCAGCAGCACTTGTGGATGGGCTACCCTGGAGCCACCCTGGAGCTGGTGGGAAGCTGTCAAGCAGCCACTGGCCACACATACTTGCTGTGGGGCTGAGATGCTCCAGCCACAAAGCACTACCAAGTACATGACCTCAGGGTTCCTATGGGGTACCCCTTTCCCAATCACAGCTAATCTGGAGGTAGCTGGGGCAGCAGTGAAGAGAGAAGATGGGCCTGCAAGTCTCAGTAACGGGAGGGCAGCAAGGCAGCCTCAGCCACCCTCTGCTGCCTCCCATCACCACAAGGTAATAGGAGCTAGGCAAGTTTCCAGAGCAAATGCCCCAGATTGTTGCAGGTATCCCATTCCTGCACTAGAGTCCTAGCCCACCACTCACTGCAGGGATAACCTGGTAGGGAACCTGGGCCTCGCTTCTCACGGGGAGTGGAGAGAGCCATGCCTCCCTCAGGGCTGCTCACAAACATCCTGTGAGACCCTACACATGCAGCCAGAGCAGTTCACAGCCACAGTGTGACCTAGCAGCACGCGCTGTCTTGCAGGAGAGGCAGCCCTGAATGAGTACCTGCGGGTCAAGACGGTAACTTTCGAGTACTGAATCAAGGTCTCTGCAAGAGGAAAGACCCCATCCCCACAGTGCCCCTTCTTCTGCACCCATGTGCCTTCCCTTGGAGGCCTGACCACTCAGCCTGGGACACTGGAAGCCCTCTGCCTGCTCCCCTGTCTGTGTTGGGAACTCTGAACATGTGACACTTGGCTGAGTAGGGAGTGGTCCACAGGACAATAAAGGTTGTGAGCAGAGGTGGTCTGGGCTGTGGGTCTCCACTCTGTCTGTGGGTGTCCTGGGTGCCTGGAAGTCTGTAGTCCCTGGAGTCCTGGGAACAGCAATGTTGCTTGACCTTGGGAGAAGCCAGACTGTCCTGGAGAGACAGAAGTAAATGTGTGTGGTTAGCTCAGGACTCCACAGGCAGTGGCTGAGAGGGAGCTAGGGATGCAAGAGGTCTGCAGAAGGGACCCCTGGGAAACACATGGAAGGAGTAGGACTGGGGGAGAACCCTGAGTAGTGATGCAGCTTGGTTTCCTCAGCAAAGATTCATGGCCCTTTCCCTGGGCAGCACTGCTGTCTTTTGCCCTATCTTGTACCTTCTGATCTCTCCTAAGCCCAGGGCTCCCCCTGTAGGGCTTCTGTCTTTCCTGTGTCCTTGCCCTATGGGAGCCAGGGCCCTCTCCTCAGCACCCTCATTCTGTAGATCCCACACACACACCTACAACCCAGTAGACCTGCTCTTGCCTCAGTTTCCCCCACGTGCTCACTCTCTTTTTGGCATCCCTGTCCCCACCACCACCTGGCTCTGCCTGAGTCCCAAAGTGCCCCACTCACCATTTCCTCCACCAAGTCCCTTCTATCCCAGTACAGACTGGGAGTATCCCAGGTCAGCCTATGCTTGTCCGGGAGCACCTTATGCCCTTCCCGTGTCAACACTGCTCTTTCTGAGCTTGCAAAGCCCCAGTCTCCTTAAAGGTCTCTACCTGCCTGACCTTCCTCTCTATCCTTGCCTTCCACTAAGTGTAGTTGTGAACTGTGATGACACTGTGGTTGATGGGACCATACACACAGTGGTGGTCCTGTAGGATGTCAGTGCAGCCACCTAGTAACACGGGGAGATGTAATGTTGCACGGCACACTGAGGTGTTTTGGGGATGCTGGTGTAAACACCTCCTGTGCCACCAGTCCTTTGAAAGTAGAGTGTGTTCATTTGTGTACACACAGACGACTTGACTATGATAATGAATGGTGATGTTACTGGGGTCCTTTGTGGTACTGGGGATTGAACACAGGGACTCATGCTTGCTACACAAGTGTTCTACCACTTCACTCCCCCCAGCTCTTTTGTGTTTATTTTGTTTTAATATAGGGTCTCTAACTTTGCCCTGGCTGGCCTTGAACTCTCCCTCCTTCTGCCTCTGCCTTCTGAGCAGCTGGGATTAAAGGCGTGTACCACCACACCTCACTGAGATATTACTGGTTTATGTGTTTCCTACACTTATCATTAGAGTGTGATCCATCCTCTTATAAAGCAATGACCGGCTGTCAAGGTGGATGCTGCAGTACACCACAGCAGTCTCCTATTGCTCGTGTTTGTGGCGACCCCTGATTGCATTGGGAGGCAGTGAGTGACAGGGCCCTCCAGGCTGCGTAGATGCCCTGTGGGATGCTCATACAGGGGTGACATCACCTAACAACACAGATGTCAGCACACCTGCCCGTCTTTAACTGATGCATGACTATATACGTCTGTAGAAGGCTGTCCAAACTTCACCTTGGGAGAACTGGCAGCAATTTGTTGAGTCCTATGTGCCATGCAGGTTCCAAATCCTTCACAGACATTCATCTCATTTAGGGCTCGCTACTCCAGTGAAGGAGGAGTAATTCTTATCTCCATTTTAGAGACCGGGAAATTGAGGCAAAGAGCAGCAGAACTGCCCAGGGTCTTACAGTATCTGTGGAAATCAGTTCCTCTCACTTCCCAAATCATGAGGACTTAGTGACTCATCCTGCAGAGACCTCTGGTGCCTGGGTCTCAGAACAGACACTGTGGGCCTCCATTCTCTTTCAAGTCTCAGCTGTGGGGGGGCCACCCCACTGAGCACTGGTCCCACAGGGGAAGCTCTGCTCTCCTTGTGGCTGCTCCCCCCAGGTGGAGTGCTAGGAAGGCCCCATTCTCAGAGCCTAGTACATGGCTGTCAGACGGGTGCAACTGCTTAGGAGACCTCAAAGGTCTGTGAAAAGCCAACAGCTCCCAGTCTGTGTGGATCCTCAGAGCCCCACAACCCACACCAGACACTTGGGAGGAATCCTTCTCATCTGCCTCCTGCAGTAGGGGCTCACCCCTGCCTCCACACACACACAGAGGGCTCCTGCCCTGGTCAGTCACATTCCTTGTTGCCCATAGAAGGAAGAAATGTGCATTTAACGATTTCACTTCAACTCTTAAGCCTTTTGGGCTCTGTGCAACCTCAGAGTTGATCTCTACCTGATGACTGGTGAACATGGCCGCCCTGCTGGGAGGAAGCTTGACCCTGTCCCTGGAGTGTGGCCTTGCTCCAGCGCAGTGTGCTTACGCACAATTGCCCTCTCCTGGGTTCTAGCTGTTCTGCCTCAAATGCCTGCAGGGCTTAGACATCCAGTCCTGGCCTCCCTTCATGTAGAAGAGCAGGTAATTCTCAGCTCAGTGCAGGTACGCTCCAACTCAAGTTGAGTGTTTCTTCTCAGATGTACAAAGAGCTTGGTTTCAGCCAGAGCACCCACTGCAGCTACACATGGGACCTGTGGATTAAATATGCATGAATGTACTCACTGTCTGAGAATTCCCCAGAAGCCTGGAGCTGGCGGTTCCCTGCTATAATCCCAGCTACTTGGGAGGCAGAAATCAGGAGGATTGCAGATTGAATCCAGCCAGGAAAAATAGTTCGTGAGACCCCATCTTGAAAATACACAACACAAAACAGGACTGGTGGAGTGGCTCAAGTGGTAGAGCACCTGCCAGCAAGTATGAGGCCCTGAGTTCAAACCCCAGTACTGCCAAAAAAGAATTTCCCAGAAACTAGGATGGACTGGGCATGATAGTTCATACTTGTAATCCCAGCTACTCGAGATTGTGAGGATTGAGGCCAATCCAGGCAAAAGAAAGCTAGTGAGACCCCATCTCAACAAATAAACCAGGCATGGTGGTACATGTCTGTTATTCCAGCTATTCAGGAAGCATACTAGGAGAATTGTAGTCTGAGGCCAGCCCAGACAAAAACATGAGATCCTATTTCAAAAACTAATGAATGCAAAAAAAGCTGGGGGCTCAAGTGGTAGAACACCTGTCTACCAAACTTGAAGCTCTGAGTTCAAACCCCAATGCCATAAAAAAAAAAAGAATTCTCCAGAAACTATAGGTAAGGAACTTATGACTTCTTTCCCCAAAATTCCCTTTCTTTGTCCCCTTCTTAAGTCACAGTCCTTGTTTATCCTGGCTTATGGCTGACCAGTGGAGACAGACCTTCCCACCCCCTCCTTGCAGCAGTGATAGTCATTGAACCAAGTTCCGTGGACAGTATGTGAGTGGATGTGATCAGCCCATCTCTGACACATGTCCTATCTGGGGCTCAGAGCTGCTGTCCTTTCCTTCTGGGCTGGCTGGAAGCAGAGCCGTTGACATGGCTGGGAACAGTGCAGACACGGGGAGAACCCCGGGTTGTGGGGGACAGAGGAAACCTGGATCCCCAACATTAGCAAAGCTCATCTCCACCACAGCGGACTCAACATCACATGGCAGATGAGGTTTATCCTGTTGTTCTGTGATTTTTTTTCAGTTCACGTTGCGCCATGTTGACAGAAGGGTTTAGGGGACTTTGAAAATATAATTAAAAAAATAACACAAAAGCTGGTCACAGAGGTATGTCTGTAGTCCCAGCTCCTCGGGAGGCTGAGGAAAGGGAGGTCGCCGGAGTTTAGGGCCAGCTTGAACAAGACTCTGTATCTTAAAAAACAAAGTACAAACACACAAGCAGATGTGGGTATGGGGGGGCAGGGAGAGAGTAACAAGATAAAACTGGGAGTGAGATTAATATGAAAACACACGCCATGGTCTGGAGATGTGGCTCAGTGGTAGAGCACTTGTCTAGAATACACGAGGCCCTGGGTTCCATCCCCAACACACACACACACACACAGAAGTTTTAATAAACCCTGCAATCATCTAGAATTAGTGCATGGTGTTATTTTTTTTTCATTTTTCTTTTATTATTCATATGTGCATACAAGGCTTGGTTCATTTCTCCCCCCCTGCCCCCACCCCCTCCCTTACCACCCACTCTGCCCTCTCCCTCTCCCCACCCCAATACCCAGCAGAAACTATTTTGCCCTTATTTCTAATTTTGTTGTAGAGAGAGTATAAGCAATAATAGGAAGGAACAAGGGTTTTTGCTGGTTGAGATAAGGATAGCTATACAGGGCATTGACTCACATTGATTTCCTGTGCGTGGGTGTTACCTTCTAGGTTAATTCTTTTTGAAGAATTAGTTCCTGGTCCCCTTTTCCTATTGGCCTCAGTTGCTTTAAGGTATCTGCTTTAGTTTCTCAGTGCATAGTGTTATATAAGCATTAATGTGTTCCATGAAAACATTTTAAACATACAAGTTTTGTAGCCCCATCCTGGCTTTTCTTTGTTTTTTCCATATACTGCTAGTTTCCAAACACATGTGTAACCTTGGGCCCTTTGCAAGATCCCAGGGAGAAAGATCTGAGTCCTGTGAGGGGACTGACTGCACCTGCACCTGCTGCTGCTGGCAGTGGAAGGTGGCTGACTTGGGATCCCTCCTGCCAGCTCTTCCTCCTGTGCAGTCAGCTAAACCTATCTTTAGTATCAGGGTCAGCCCCAAGGGGGGTTCCTAGCTGAGGAGTGCAACCAGCCAGGCCCACTGGGTGGCAGTGAGCTGTCCCTCCTACAGCCCTGGGGGTCAGCTGGTTCAGCTGCTCCTGACTCCCACCTTCTCTGAACAGAACCAGCAGCTTTGCTAAGGCCACTGCAGGGTTCACTCCAGCGGCCATAAATCCTGTGGGAATCTTTACAAAGGGACACAGTCTGTCCCTGGTGGTCACCTCCATGCTTTTTGGGGATGGAAAAGATGTGTAGGTCCAGTGGTTGGAGGATTTCCAACAGAGGCAGGATGTCCCTGGCCTTCTAAATTTGGCTCTGTCAGCCACTCACTGGCTGGCAAGCCTCAGTTTCCTCCTCTGAAAACAGAAAGGGTAATACATGCTCTGCGGGCTGCCCAGGCCTGTCATGTGATCATACAATACGGATGTGGTTGTGTGTTGTAAAGTGAGGAAAATGCCAATTTGGCATGAAGTTTTTGTTTGTGCTCATGATTTTGCAAATTACTAGTGGGCTGTTAATGATAGCCTTGTCTTCCTGGTAGCTCTCGGCCAGAATGCACACGGCCAGGGTGGTCTGCACCTGGGGAAGGGGTGGGTCTGTTGCAGGACTGGTCCAACCCCAGATACTTGCAGGGTCCTTGTGCGGGCGCTGGTCTCTGTCCTCTGCAGAGATCCTGAGCAGGTCCATCGAACTGGCAAGGCAATGATGAAGGACCACTTCACCATGCATATGAGAACGGATGCCAGGGGATGGGCGGCTGTGGGCGTGAGCCCTGCACCTGCGGTGGGTTGTCAGATGAGGAACACTGAGGCACAGCTTCAAGTGGCGTTGAAGTATCCATTCCCTGGAGTTTTCCTGTTTTGTGTGCAAATTTATATTATAAATTTAATATCAAAAAGCAGATACTCCACAGAACAGTCATCGGTTTTGTTTTGTTTTTGAGGTGCTGGGATGGAACCCAGGGCCTGTGTATGCTAGGCAGGCACTCACCACTAAGCCGCACCCCAGCCCAGGGTCAGAGCAAGTGGTCAGGTGTGACTGGAACTGGAAGAACCAGAGCAGCTCCGCCCAATTCCCCCGCTCAAGAGAGGCAGCCTGATACGGTAGAAAGTGACACCTTTAGACTCAGGCTAGACTTTGAATCCTTGCAGTGACACTTAAGACCGTGTGGCCCCTCAGGATGTGGGACACCTTCTGTCCTAGCCCCTCACCCACGAGAAGACGTGCAGCTGTGCACCACGCAGGCCTGCAAGTGGTTAGCAATGCTGTACAGAGCGC